GTGAGTGTGTATGTGTGTCTGTCAGTAAATGTGTGTGTCTGTTAGCTAGTATGTATGCGTCTGTTCGTGAGAGTGTGTGTGGTTAAAACCCCTTCAGCACTTATTTTTCTCCAGCTCCCTTGGCGCTAGGGATCTCTCCGCCCCGATCTGCCTCTCAGCTCCGAATGCGCATACGCGGCAAGAGCCTTGCGCGCATTCAAACCGCCCATAGGAAAGCATTACTCAATGCTTTCCTGTGGACGTCCAGCGTCTTCTCACTGTGATTTTCACAGTGAGAATCGCGGAAGTGCCTCTAGCGGCTGTCAGTGAGACAGCTACTAGAGGCTGGATTAACCCTCAGTGTAACATAGCAGTTTCTGTGAAACTGCTATGTTTTCAGCTGCAGGGTTAAAATTAGAGGGACCTGGCACCCAGACCACTTCATTGAGCTGAAGTGATCTGAGTACCTATAGTGGTCTTTTAAGTGTATGTGTATCTGCATGCACTGGCGTACATACCGTGGTCGTGACCAGGTACCCGCTGCCATGTGTTGCGGCACCAGCCCGCGCAGAGTAAGCGCCGGGAGTGGGGGGGCACGGATCAATTTTCGCACCAGGGCCCCTGTGTACACCACTGCAAATACAATTGTGAACAATATAAAAAGAATTTGCCAGCAAAAGAGAACATTACAATCTGCTCATTAAATGGTTCATGCTATGCTACGGCACAAAATATTTTTTGGGGGTTTCCACAGTGTTGATATACCATGTCAAAGAGTTCCATGGGAAAAATTAATTGGGAGACCCTGCTCTAGAGTATAGCTCCACTGAGCTAAACAAACCAGGAAGTAACACAAACTGGGTTATAATGAGTTTAATTTATAAAAATGCCAGTTTCTATTGAACTCTGCATTTTTTGTGAAATGAAAAAAATAGGACACATTCGTCACACAAAGCATTTCAGCAAGCTAAAGTGCTTAAGGGTTCAGAATGTCCCTTTAAATTCTGTTTGGTCAGAAGCACAGCTAATCCCCAAAAAATTTTAAAATTGTGGGTAAACAATAGCTAGTGTGTGTTCTTGAATCTTGACATCACGTGCAAGCAGCTGGCATATTAAAATGTACTCTAGGAATGTTTCCATACTTCAGTCTATACATTGTCTAGGTAAATAACTTGGGTGTCCGACCAAAGAAGGATAAAGATGGCTGCACCATGAGTAAAGGTAGGCCATGAGATAAAGGAACATATCTAGTTGAACATTTTAGGGAATAGTTAATCTTTTGAGTACATATTAAAGGGGCACTCCACCGCCCAAATAACAAAATAACAAAACACTTTTTAGTAGATAAACCAAGTAAAAAACTATATCCAAAAATAGCTTGCAGAAGCGGCAGATCTCATCTGAAGCATTTGCAGGCCATTCTCTTCTAACCCAACCCAGACTTTCTGTCACAGTCTTGCAAGGCAAGTGCTCTGGACAAATTACTTCCTCTTAAATTTAGCTCCACTGAGCTAAACAACCAGTTAGTAATAGGAACAGATGTCTGACTGACAGCCAGTAAGGTGTAACAAGGTTATTTTTATAAAAGGGACAATTTCTATTGAAATCTGCACTTTTTGTAAAATGAAAAGCAAAAAGGACACATTCTTTACACACATTCTTGTACACCCTCATTCAAGGGTTAAAACTTCGCTATTTTTGTCACGGTGAACATGTAAAACAAAAAAAAGGAACCGCACTCAACTCCACTTAAAACCGGATGCACCGAAGCAGGACCAGCAAATCCAAACCACGTATGATAAAACAAGAAAAAGTCTTCAGGCACTCATGGAATTAAAGCAATAGGCAGATTTTTTGGATCAGGAAAGCAGAGCAATGTTTCCACCTATAAACAGGTCTTTATCAAGTTTAGAAATATTTATAGGTCGAAACGTTGCTTTGCTGATCCAATAAATCTGCCTATGACTTTAATTCCGTGAGTGCCTGAAAGTGAACATGTAAGACAAGCATTTCAAACTTGCGGGCTGCATGCGGACCACAATGAATATATTTGCGGCCAGCCATGTGTGTGCCATGATTACTAAGGCAGAGTAGGCACCTGCTCTTCTTACATTGCAGGTGCCTACTCTGCTCAAATTTACCCAGTACCAGCCATAGGAGAGGTCCCTGGCGGCAGCGAGGTAGCTCAGTCTTCCTGCTCCTCATGGCTCCCTCTGTAGTGATGCCGGGTGCCGGAATATGATGTCATTCCGGCACCCGGCATCACTAAACTGCACGTGTGAGGAAGCAGTGAGGAGCAGGAAGACTGAGCTCCCGAGAGAAGAAGCCCCACACCAGGTAGGGAGCAATAAATCAAATGATGATGGTGCGTGCAAGAATGTGGAAATGTGTGTCTGTGTTTGTGTGTGTCTGTCAAATTGTGTGTGTCTGTCAGTGTGTGTGTGCCTGTCTGTCAGAATGTGTGTGTGTCTGTCTGTCAGAGAATGTGTGTGTCTGTCTGTCAGAGAGTGTGAGTGTGTGTGTCTGTGTGTGTTGGTCAGTGTTGTGATGGCCGTGGCTGGACAGTGGAGGACCTGGAAGTGCATGGAGGCACGCCGTGACAGCGATGTTCTCCACCTTCACAGGTTTTCAAGGAGTAGTGGGAAGATACGCTTTGGCACACGGTGCGGACAGCGCCATTGGGGGTATACTAGAGGCTGGGCTCCAGTCGCATACAGGCAGCGGCAATGTGAGTGAAGTCTGCTTGTTGGCTAATATTGTTCTTTTATTTGATGCTTTTTTAAACAAGGGCCAAGATTTAGTAGAGGGGGGTGCTGGGATTTAGTAGAGGAGGGAGGACTGGGATTTAGTATAGTAGGGGGGGGCTGGGATTTAGTACCGAGGGGCAGACTGGAGTTTAGTAGGGGGGATGCAGATTTTTTTTTGTACTGTTCTTTTCAAAACAAACCTACATTTCTATGAAAATTTAAGGTTTTTGGTTTTTTTTTTGCCACCCACATAAACTTAAACCTTGTTTATGTGGCCTGTGCTAGCCTTTGAGTGTCTCATGCTTGATGTAAGACATACAGTACAAGAGCATAATTATGAAAAAACAGGCAAGTAATTCCGTATAAAGAAATTCCCAAACACCTTTTTTTAGCTGATTTAGAATCATCAGTTTTACAACTAATTATGATTATCTGGATGAGATAACACACAGTTGAGTATAAATATCTCAACCATTAACTTGGTACAACAAAAAAACGGTCATTAATGACTTTGGACGTACCTGGTACGTCCGCGGCAAATCGGACCCGTTTACTTACATAGACCGCAAATCCTGGGCGAGACCTCCAGGGCCATGTGATCACAATCACATCCAAAGTGTCAGTGTCAACGTTATCAAGACCTTGATAAAAGTTCGGTTCGACTGAAACGTTGACACTGACACTTTGGATGAGATTGTCTGTTGCTGAAATAAAAAGCACTTTATTGAAACATATCGAGTCCTGTGAGTTCTCTCCATCAAGGTATTATATATATGTATATACATACATTCACACACAGACACACACATTCAATATATATATTTAACTAGTAACTACACAATTATTAGATTTTATTAATTATAATTTGAGGGACCTGCCTGACAACCCAGGCAGACAGTCCATAGAATTTAATTGTCAAACCCTATATTTAACCCTGTAACTTTCCAAAACACCATAAAACCTGTACATGGGGGGTATTGTTATACTCGAGAGACTTCACTGAACACAAATATGAGTGTTTTAAAAAGTAAAACCTATCACGACGATGATATCACCAGTAAAGGTGCAGTTTTTGTTTTTTAAAAAAATGCAAAAAACAAATAAAAACTCAAACGTTGGCCAGCTTTGTGACTAAGTGGCTACGACAAAAGACTGGAAATACACCATTTTAAATACCCTGGGTAGCCTACATGATGAGGTTAATTCACATTCCTGGACTACCATATGGTCTCAAAAGGCAACCTAGACCCAGCAAACCAATCTGGCAAACTGAATTGGGCAAGCCCTATATTGACCCTGTAACTTTCCAAAACACCATAAAACCTGTACATGGGGGTATTGTTATACTCGGGAGACTTTGCTGAAAACAAATATGAGTGTTTAAAACAGTGAAACTTATCACGACGATGAAATCACCAGTAAAAGCGCAGTTTTTGTGTAAAAGAATGCAAAAAACAAACATGAACGCTAACTTTGGCAAGCGTTTGTGGCTAAGTGGCTACTACAAAAGACTGACATACCCCATTTTGAATACCCTGGGTTGTCTACTTTTACAAATGGTATGTCATAGTGGGGTTAATTTTCATTTCTGGGCTGCCATACCGTCTCAGTGGCAACATAGCCAATCTGGCAAATAGCAATTTACAAAAACAGAAATGGGCGAATCTTATGTTTTACCCTGTAACGTTCCAAATCACCATAAAACCTGTACTTGAGGGGTACTGTTGTACTCGTGATACATTACTCTACCCAAATATTAGCGTTTTAGAGCAGTAAAATGTATTACAGTAAAATGGCAGTTTCTGTGTGAAAAATACAAAAAAGCTAACGCTAATTTTGGCCAGGGTTTGTGACTAAGTGGGTACTAAAAAAGGTTGGACTTACCCTATTTTGAATACTGTGGGTTGTCTACTTTTACAAATGGTATGCCATGACGGGGTTAATTTTCATTCCTGGGCTGCTATACAGTATAAAGGCAACATAGGCCCAGCAAACCAATCTGGCAAATATCAATGGGCAAACATGGAAAAGCAGAAAGCCCTACATTTGACCCCTGTAAGTTATCAAAAACCCATAAAACCTGTAGATTGGGGGCACTGTTGTACTTAGGAGATGTGTTCTTTGCCAGTAACACATAACTGGAACTGAGAATCCATGCCTAACGTACAAAGTGAGAGAAAAATAAAACAAAAAAATGACTACCCAAAAGTTCAACAAAGACTGGTGATTAGTGATGTCGCGAACCGTTCGCGAACTTGCCACGAACCGTTCGTGGCGAACTCCGGTCAGCTGACACATCCCTGCCAATCTCCGGCAGACCCTCCCTCCCACTTCCTGGACAGCATCCATGTTGAAGCTGCCTTCAACATGGATGCTGTCCAGGAAGTAGGAGGGTCTGGGAGGGAGGGTCTGCCGGAGATTGGCAGGGATGTGTCAGCTGACCGGAGTTCGCCACGAACGGTTCGCGACATCACTACTGGTGATAGAATTAGTGCATGGAAAGTGTTAATACCACCATTTGAATACCCTAGGGTGTCTACTTTTCAAAAATATATGGTTTGATGGGGGTAAATTACATTGTCCGGCTACAAAAATGTCCCAAATAGGACATGGGTGCATGATGACCAGCTGTGAAAATTCCAAGTTGAAAAACTGGAATTCGCACCCTCCAAATAAGGTCTTTTAGCCCCTAGAGAACCTGACACACCTATACATAGGGGGTATCACTGTACTCAGGACATGTTGCTGAACACATATTGGGGTGTTTTTAGGCAGTAACCCTTAAAGTTCTCAGTACATGTATTCTTAAGTTGCATGAAAAGTGTTTAATACACTGTCTTCTTTTAAAAAATATATACATGTGAAGGGTTATTCAGGGATTCCTGACATATCAGTGTTAAAATGTAACTTGTGTTAATTTTGAAAAAAATGGTTTGGAAATAGCAAAGTGCTACTTGTACTTATTGCCCTATAACTTGCAAAAAAAAAAGGAACATGTTAACATTGGGTATTTCTAAACTCAGGACAAAATTTAAAAACTATTTAGCACGGGTGCTTTTCGGCGGTTGTAGATGCGTAAGATTTTGGGGGTCAAATTTAGAAAAATTATAGTAAATTATAAGATATGATGAAAATAATTAGAAAGACCATTTAAGTGTGAGAAAAACGGTATATAATACGTGTGGGTAAAGTAAATGAGTATGAGAAAAATTACAGCTAAACACAATCACCGCAGAAATGTACAAACAGCCCTGGTCCCTAACAATAAGAAAATTGAAAAACGGTCTGGTCACTAATGGGGTTAATTAAATTTAATTATTTGTGACTGTTGAAGATTTAGAATTCATGAAATATCGATTTAATGTGTAGTGCGAAGGCACATTAAAAACCTGATTACTTGTACAAGCTTTAATACAAACAGATTGAGGAACTGGCTGGTAGACAGGAAGCAAGAACAGCTATAGAGTGATAGTTATACATATATATAGATACTTTGGAAAGAAGGGCTACTAAACTAGTTCATGGATTGCAGGATAAAACTTACCAGTAAATGTTAAAGGAACTTAACATGAATAGCTTGGAAGAAAGACAAGACAGGGGATATGATAAAAACATTTAAATACATAAAGGGAATCAACACAGTAAATGAGGATACTATATTTAAAGGGACACTATAGTCACCAGAACAACTACAGCTTATTGAATTTGTTCTGGTGAGTAGAATCATTACCTACAGGCTTTTTGCTGTAAACACTGTCTTTTCAGAGGAAATGCAGTGTTTACATTACAGCCTAGTGATACTACATGGACTACATTTCCCATGATGCTCAGCTAGCTTTTAAAGTGTTTTAAAAATTGGGCAGACTAGATGGGCCAAACGGTCTGCTGTCACATTCTATGTTTTTATAGAGAGATGTTAGACAGATAAATTGTAGAGAATTAAAAGGGGAGATACAAAGTTTAAATCACAATCACTGAACTGCAAACATTCTCCAACTCTTTGCAAATGAATGATAATTTGATAGTACTTGGAAGCCATTGTTTTAGGGCCATCCAGATTTAGTAAATAAACCTGTATGAATTTAACATGCAGGGAGTGCTTCACCAGTGATGCAGAGATGCATTTGCGCTGTGCTGTGCTGCCTGAGGACACTTCCCTGCTGTCCCTGGACGGGGAACGAAATTGGGATGGTTGGACAAGACATTGAAATTTGTGACTGTGCCGCCAAAAGTGGACCTGTTAGGAGCCCTGGTAAACTTCCCCTGATAGACAGCAGGGATAATAGAAGTAGCATATTACCAGTCTTTATTGAGTGGCAACATGGTAATCTGTAAACAGGTAACAGTCTGGAAGTCAGCAGAGGTCAGGGGTAATAGAAATAATGGGGAAATATATTGTTACCAGAATAAACATGAAATAAATAAGATCAATACACAGAAATACATGAATGCCACCAATTTGGATTAACTGGAAAGTGTGAAGGCGCCGAGATTCTGTTATACCAAATACACATAAGCGGATTCATCCATTGTAGTGGACCACAGTTAACCCACGACTGGTTACCTCCGCTAAAGCCACTCTGGAACCATTAACACATACACAGACATCCATTCCCCCAGTAACCAGACGAAACATAGTTCTGGGAGTTAACACCATTTTATTTTGCCACACACGGCTTTTATGCATAACCCCCTATAAGGGGGCACAGAAACCCCGCCAAAATAGACAGTACCCCAAAAGTGTCCCCACCAACCTCAGGAACCGCACAAAAGTACATTCCCCGACCGGTCTCAGTTCGTGAAGTTCCTGTGCGACTAGGCAAGGGAAGCACTTCCTTTTGGGATTCAAATGCTCCCCCTGGTTGGCGTTCGTCTATACGAAATGGCGGCCACCCAGGGAAAAACTCATGAATTACTTCCCTTGCGTTTTTTCGCACTTAAGTTATTGGTGTGAACGTTCTAAATGATTGGTGTGAACATTCTAAAGGAATACCAGGGTGGCCCCATGCGGGAGACGAATGGGTGCTGTTCGTATGTGCGCTACCGAACAAGGAAACAGGGCACAATACACAAAATACACAAGGAAACACACGAATAAGCAATGGTTCTGCCACATCCATAAAGCAGAACTGAATGGAAGTGATCGATAGTGGACATTGATAGTTGACATTTCAGCATAGTGAGAATTCTGGATAAGGGGTTAAACTTACAATATCTTTGTTTCTGAGAGAAAAAAATTACTGATATCTATGACCTACACTAAACAGTTGCAGCAGGTAAAAATATAATCATTAACATCAATGTTACTAGGTTTGTAGCCTACTCTTTTCTATGCAATACTGTACATAGTGTATAAATTCCAGTCTGAGTGTTTAAAGTTTATTTGTATTGACAGATTGACACTGGAAACTTTACAAATACAATTACAGGGGTTATTTCCTTGATTAGAGGGTGAGTACAAAGTTTTCTAAATCAGATGCCAGAGAAAGACCGAGCGTATCAGCTGATAATCTCAGTCTATCACCAGTGCCCCTTTCGAAAAACTGTTTAACCACACAAGCTCCCAAGACCTCCAGACACCATTATGCCTAAAGGGACACTATAGGCACCCAGACCACTTCAGTTCATTGAATTGGTCTGGGTGCAGCATCTCTTTTACACTTAGTGCTGCAATGTAAAACATTGCAGTTCCTGAGAAACTGTAATGTTTACATTGCAGCACTAAGTCTAACTCCAGTGGCTGTCTACCATACAGCCACTGGGGACACTTCCTTAATCGAAATGGACTTTTGGTCTGTATCTGACGCTGGACGTCCTCACATTGATTCAATGCTTTCCTATGGTGAGGTGTAATCCGGGCAGAACGTCGGAGGGGGCGGAGTGTCGTGCCAGTGCCGAGGGACATTGGCACTGGGACAAGGTAATTAGAGGGTTTTTAACCCTTTAACGTGGAGTGGGGAGAGGGGGGAGGCAGTAGCAAGGGAAGCGATAGAGCCAGGGATACAGCTTTGTATTTCTGGCACTATAGTATACCTTTAATGGAGATGATTTATTGTGGTGCCTGGAGTGGTCTTTAAAAGGGATTTGTAGGTTAAAATAGCAACAATGAAAACACTGATGACCTAGACAATTATTTTTCTTTTTTTAAATAATTTATTTTTTATTATTTTCAAATGGTATAGGAATACAGAAGGAAAACAGGGAGGGGAATCCACAGGTATTGTACAGCTTGACACATTTTACATTTTTACATTGCATTGAGCTTACAGCGAGGATTCTATCACAGTACACGCTATAATATGGTGCTTGTGTTAACAGTATGGTCCGTGTGTGGTAGGCTCGCCCAGCAGGATGAGCTCTTGACCTTCGTCTTTTTGCACTTAGGAGCGTGGTGTATAAGATATTGCTAAATGTTCATGTTAGGTGTTGTTGATGTGGTCTCTTGTACTGGGCCCTGTGGGGCTTATTATGTTGCTTAATTTATATAACCTGAGCCGTGGCTGCTGTCTGTGTAAGGTATCTCAGTTGTAGCATCTTTATTTGTAGTGTTATGTGGGGGCTTTGTCGTTTTCCTCTTTACGGTTCGTTGGTGATGTGAGGTGTGAGGGTTGGGGAAGGGGGTTGGGTTGGGGGAGGGTAGTTAGGGTATGGGGAAAAGGGAGAAAGAGGGGGGAGACGGTATCTTTGGTACCTGGTGTGGTCTGTCTGTCAACTGAAAAGTGAGGTTGCTGTCTAGGGTAACGTGTTGGTTTGTAGTGTGTTGGTGTACTGTATGTGGGCTGGATAGGGTCCTTTGGTCCTTGTTTTGGCTCGTGTTAGCCTTTCGTCACATTAGGCTTCAGAGGTGTGTGTAGGTGTCTGCTGCTTTAGTAGGTAGGTGCGCCACATCTCATCTGCGGCTGGGCTTAGTTTCCCTATTTTCAGTTGGTTCCACATGAGGAGTTCGTAATCCATAGTTGTCGACATTAGGGTTATAATTTCCCGGGTTGAAGGGAGAGTCGGGGTCTTCCAGTTTCTTGCTATTAGAGTGGATACTGAGCTTAGTATGAGATATATCATTTTCTTTGTAGTTTTGGGGATGCTATCTGGCAGTGATCTTAAGAGTATTGTTTTTGGTTCGTGTGGTAGGGTGCAGTCTGTGATTTCTTGAACCAATCATTCTGTTATTTTCCAGAGTTCGTTTACGGTGTCGCAGGACCACCATATGTGCAGCATGGTGCCTTTGTGCTCTTTGCATCGCCAGCATATGTCTGCCGTTTCGGGATATATGGAGTGTAGTCGAGAGGGTACCATGTACCACCTATATAGTAATTTGCGCGATGTCTCATAATGTGCTGCGCAGGTGGACATACCTTCGTGCGTTGTGAAGATTTCTGTCCATTCTTGCGGGGTGACAGGCTCTTGGAGATCTTCTTACCAGTCCTTCATGAATTTCCACACTTCTTCTGTCTTGGGGTTTGTGAGATTATAGTAGCAGTTGGAGAGCGCTTTCTTCGGGGGTAGTGCTGTCATGCATTGTAGTTCGAACATTGTCGCTGTGTTTCGGAGTGTCTGTTTTCTTGTGTGAATCGAGTTTCTTTTCAGAAGTGCTTTCAATTAGAGGTAAGCGAACGTAAAGTTCGGAGGGAGTGTGAATTCCGCTTGCAAATCTGGGAAGGGTTTCAGGCATTCAGGTGTATAGAGGTGGTACATGTGTTTGATACCTTTTTCGACCCATTTTTGGTGCGGGAATGTGCCGTTGCAGTGATGTAAGGTCCTGATGGGGGCAGCCAGCGCCCAGGGATAAGCCGAGCATAATTTTTCTCTGCAGCCGTCCCAGGTTGATAGTAGAAGTTTGGTGGTGGGCAGCATGTCTATGGTTCGTGGAAGATAGGTCGTTATTGGTGCAGAATTGGCTTTCTATCGCCACCCACTGGGGGGGTTGTTCCGTTGAGTGTGCACTGATGACATTCGTGAGGAGGGCTGAGTGGTAATATTCTTTTAGGTTCGGGAATCCCATTCCTCCTTGTTTCGTGTGTCTGAAGAGCAGGGCTTTTGGGACTCTTGGGTGCTTCCCGTTCCAGCTGAAACATAGAAGGATTGCTTGTAGGCTTGCCAGGTAGTTTTGTGGAATCTTAATTTGTAGGGACCGGAAAAGGTACAGGATTTTGGGGAGTATTGTCATTTTGATCGCTGCTATTTTTCCAACCCAGGATAGGAATAGATTTTTCCAGCCTTGTAGCTGTTTTTCGACTTCCCGTAGCACTTTTGTGTAGTTTCTCTGTGAATAGTTCATTCGTTTTGTTAGTTATTCTGATGCCTAGGAATGTTAGGTGGTCAACTCTCCAGTCATATACGTGGGCCGCTTTTAGGATGTCTTCAGTGGTTTTAGGTACATTAAGTCACATCGCTTGTGTTTTGGCGATATTGAGTTTGTAGTATGACTGCTGACTGTATGCGTGTAATTCTTTGTGTAGTGATGGGAGTGAGATGAGTGGTTGGGTGAGTGTGAGTAGTATGTCATCCGCAAAGAGGTTGAGTTTGTACTCCTGTTGGCCGATTGTTACTCCATGTATATTAACATTTCTGCGGATGGCTATTGCTCCAGGGCCAGGACGTATAGAAGGGGAGATAAGGGGCATCCTTGACGGGTGCCATTGGTGATCTGGAAGGGGTTTGAGCAGAATCCCGAGGTCAACACTGTAGCCGTGGGGTTGCTGTACAGGGCACTAACTACAGACAGAAAGGGCGGTGGAAAGCCGTAGAGCGCTAGGGCTTCGTGTAGGAAGTGCCAGTTTAGGCGATCGAACGCCTTTTCGGCGTCTAATGAGAGCATGATGCTCTCTTGTTTAGTATGCTTCAGGAGGTGGTATATATCAAGTACCTTTCTGGTGTTCTCTGGACCTTGTCTGCCCATTACAAATCCCACCTGGTCTGTGTGAATTAGGGAGGGTAGTATCGTTTTGAGGCGGTCAGTATGGATTTTTGCGCATAGCTTGGCATCTGCGTTGAGGAGTGATATCGGCCTAAAGTTTTGGCATGTGGTCATGGGTTTCCCTGGTTTAGGGATGGTGATGATGTGCTGATAGGAACTCAGCGGGGAGAGAGCCTTTTTTAGTTGCATCATTATAGAATTGGGTAAGAGGAGTGGCTAGCTCGTGTTTGAACGCTTTGTAATACGTGTTGGTGTACCCATCGGGACCTGGTGCTTTGCCTCTGGGCATTGCATCTATCTGGTGTAGCACCTCTTCTACGGTGATGGGGGTAATGAGCTTCGCTGCCTGTTGTGGGTGGATAGTGGGGAGTGAGAGTTTGGTGAGGTAGGCTCTTATGGTCTCTGGGACAGGTTGGGGCGAGTTTGGGTGGTCTTTCAGATTGTATAGGGTACTGTAGTAATTGGCGAATTCATTGCATATTTGTGTGGGTTGCATTACTTTTTGCCCGTTGTGTGTGTTTAGGAATTGTGTTCTCGTGTGTGCTAGTTTATTTTGCAGTCTAAGGGCTAGTAGTTTCGAAGCCTTGTTCCCCATTGAATAGGAAGTGGCTTTTAGTTTCTTTAATGCTGCGTTTGCTTTGCATAGGTGGATTTCGTTTATTTTGTTTTGTGCACTTTGTATTTGTTGTTGGAGTATCTTTGTGGGATTTGCTTGGTTTGCTCTGTGGAGGTCTTGAACTTTTTTGAGGAGTGTGAGTAGTGTGTTATAGTTAATCTTTTTGATATATGCAGCTCTTCCTATCAGGGTTCCCCGAATGACTGCTTTATGTGCCAGCCATAGGGTGGCTGGTGTTGGGTCATGAGGGGCATTGGATGCAAAATATTGGTTCACTTCTTTCCGTGTCTTTTCCTTATAGGAAGAATCGTTGAGGAGGTGCTCGTTCATTCTCCAAGGGCTACGGTTTTTGAATTGATATGAGTCTGCGAGTATTAACGACACTGGGTTATGGTCAGATAGTGTGGATGTTTCTATTTCGCATTTCCTGATCTGTTGTAGATGTGTGTTGTGTATGAGGAATCCATCTATGTGGGAGTATGTATTGTGCACTTGGGAATAATGGGTACATGCTTTGTCGATAGGGTGTAGGGTTCTCCAAACATCATAGAGACCGTGCGATGCCAGTAGTTTGTTCATGGAGTTGCAGTATTTGTGAAGGGTTTTTTTGCGTTTCGTTGAGTGTTGGGCTGTGGAGTCTGTATTAGGGTTCAGAATGTGGTTAAAGTCCCCGCAAATGATCGTGGTGCCTGTTTGGAGCTTGTCTATTTTGTCCAGGAGGGAAGCCAGGTAGGATTTCTGGTTGTTGTTTGGCGAGTAAGAGTTCACTATCGTGTATGTGGAGTTGTTCAAGGTGCATATTAGAATGATAAATCTGCCTTGTGGGTCGGGGTTTATTGAGATTAGGTCGAAGGCCAGAGTGTGGCTCAGTAAGATCGACACTCCCCTACTTTTGGTTGGGGAGGTAGCGTGGAACTGATGGGGGAAGTGTTTGAGTCCTAGGATGGGGTTAGAGTTTTGTTTGAAGTGTGTCTCCTGTAAGCAGACGATGTCCACTTATGTGTTATTGAGTTCTTTAAGGAGAGTGTGTCTTTTATTGGGCGAGTTCAAGCCGCGAACATTATGAGTAATTATTTTCATGCTTCGTGGGTGTGTGCTTGGGGTATGTGTCGTGGTAGGGTATTGTAATGTGGTACGGTTATGTCTCCGTGTAGTGGAGGGGAGGCGGTCGCAGTTCTGTTGGGGTGTTGGGCCTGCCAGTATGACTGGTCTGTTCGTCCGTATAGTGCAGTCAGTGGGTGGCCATGTCTTGGCGCCTAGGGATTGGTACCAGTATGTACAATACAAATTGTGGTGCAACGTAAAACAAATTAAACAATCAAACAATGATTAAGAGAAAAAAAAAAAAAAAGTATCTTACAATGGCGACTTTCAGTGGTATGTGCCTGAGCTTGGCACTTCCTAAATGGGGGTAATGTGGTCGGGTCGAGCGGAGGTCACCCCGGGCTCAACGTGAATCGGGTTTCCTCCGACCCTTTTTTTTTTTTGATCATTAATATTTAGTGGTTGGAGCAGCCAACGCCTCTGAGAGTGATAGTTTGCCCGCGTTTTAGCGGAAGAGGTCATTACCATGAGGGTCGGTAGTCGGCAAGCAGTGCTCAGTGTTGGTTGTTAAAGGGTTTTGGTAGGGTCCTTTGGGGTTACATATTAATTGCCCCGCCTCTGCTAAGGAGGGTAGGTCATAGGGGCACATGATAAGTATATAGATTATCTGTATAATCATCACATTTTAACGCTATGCATAACAGGTAAATATTAAATTGAACTTGTTTAGAACTTGCTGTGTTTCACCGAGCATCATCAGTCTTCTCTCGGGGACGTGCGTCTTGTTTTCTGGGGACGCCATTCTTCAGTTAGGGTTTTTCCGAGGTCCCGAGGGGGTGGCTGCAGGTTCCGAGACATACCCCATTGTCGCAGTAGATCTATTCTTTCTGTTGGTGTAGCTGCAACTGTGAGCTTCCCTCCTTTTGAAATAAGGAGTTTGGCCAGGTAACCCCAGCGGTATGGGACATTGTGGGATCTGAGTGCGTCCGCTATAGTCTTAAAAGATCTCATCCGGCGTAGTGTTTCTGCGGATAAGTCCATAAACATGAGAATGTCCTTGAACTGAGTAGGTAGGTTCTTTTTGGTTCTATGTGCCCGCAGTATTTGGTCCTTAACGTGATAATAGTGGAGTCTCATGAGGACATTCCTTAGAGTTGAGGGTGGTAGGTGTTGCGGTCTGGGGAGCCTGTGGATGCGATCTAGGAAGAACATGTCCGTTGGGACATCAGGCAGTAACGCTCGGAACATCTCTGTGGAGTAGGCTGTTAGGTCTTGTGCCCCTATATCTTCTGGGACGCCCCTCAGGCATATATTGTTGCGGCGTGATCTGTCTTCTGCATCAGCAATTTTAGTCTCGTGGTGGTAAAGTTGTTCTTCAAGCTTGTTGAAGCACATTTCGGTCTCATTTTGAGCCCCTGGAAGGCTTTCTATATTGCCCTCAAGGTGGGAGGCCCTTGCCTCCAAGTCGGTGAGGCCTTTCCTTAGGTCATTTATTGCCTCTGTAACGGCAGTTTGCATCTTGGTAACCGCTGCATCTAGAATGGTTTGTAGGAGACCTTGTGTTAGGGGGCTATCCTCCTGTCTACTCACTGTGTAGTCGCGTTCAGCCTCGTCATCTGGGTCGCGCCATCTTGGGCCTGTGGGTCAGCGGGTTTGTGTTGAGGTGTTCTGGCCGCAAAGAAGGCTGTTTTGTTTTTAGCCTCCGCAGTTTTTTTTGCTCGGTGTTGGGACATCGTTCCTGTTGTTTGGGTCGGAGATTACTCCGAAAATGATTGGTTTTAGCCATGTTATAGAGCCCGGAGTAGCGGAGCTCATTTAGTGTGCTTCCACCTCGCACGGTGTGAATTTGTAATTCTTCTCAAATCACTTTGACACAGCTGTATCAGCAGTCACTTTGGCTGTATTTGCAGAATTAACCCCAATATATAGGACAGAATTGTCAGCACAAATCAACTGAGCTGGTTTCTTAACCCCTTAAGGACACATGACATGTGTGACATGTAATGATTCCCTTTGATTCCAGAACTTTGGTCCTTAAGGGGTTAAACAAGAACATTTTAGATTTTGATTTTATGGGCACAAAGATGCTCTCAATGTGTTAAAATGTCAAACCATTGAAATATTCTGGAAATGTTTATTGCAATCATTTTGTAGTATAACCTAAAATACTTCGCTTTTAACACTGGAAAATATGTATGCAAATGATAAGAGGATAATATAAATCAAACTAATCTATTTTGCCATTTTTATTTTTCTGTTTTTGAGATTTCACAGCCAGTCGTTAAATTTTATGATAAACTTTATTCATACAAACAGATATATCTTATTGCAAACAAACTCTTAACACTGAATTTTTGCACGCCAAACCATAAATGTCATATACTGTTCCTTAAACGTACCAAAAATATAAACCAATTTTACTACTTACATATTTCTTTGTATAAAATGCAACAGCAGACTAGCTCAATCCACTCATAACTCATTTAAATGTTTATTGAACTGACATTTGATGCAGCTTTTTTGACATTTACATTACAATGTGTTTTCAGATCTCGAACCTAATTTAACACCGCAAAAAACAATATGGTAAAAGCATCCTGTGAGGAAAATAAAGTATTTCCTTTAATTCTTCTGAACCAGAATGAAGAATAGTTAAGTGATTTATACTCTTGCTTTCATCAGTTCACGGGGCCTAAAAAAAAAAATTCAAAAAAAGATGAATACTTGATATGGTACATTTTTCCCCCCCTTGTTTCAAGGGAATTGTGTGTGTCAGGTCTTGTAGTACAACTGCTGTTTCCATAGAAGCACTAACTAGAATGAGATACGGACATAAAGAATATGAAGAGAAGAGAAAGGGTTGAGGATATTAATAAATATGCACCCAATGTGAACTAGACATCTGATTTTGTCTATTTTCATATTGTCCAGCATGAGAACACATTGCACAGTTTAAATAAGGGCTTTTACTAATTTGTGACGGAAAGTCATGATTTTAAGACAGACAAGTATTATGCATTTAAAGGGACACTATAGTCACCAGAATAACTACAGCTTAATGTTGAGTATAATCATTGCCTTCAGTGATTTTAATGCAAACACTTCCTTTTCAGAGAAAAGGCAATGTTTACATTGCCCCCTAGGGACACCTCCAAGTGGCCACTCCTCAGATGGCCACTGGAGGCACTTCGTGGGGCAGTGCTGCACAGTAGGCAGCACGGCCGTTCAGCGTCTCCATGCTCTGCATGGGGAAGCTTAATTTTTCTCATAGAGATGCATTGATTCAATGCATCTCTATGAGGAGATGCCGATTGGATAAATCTGCGTTTGGCCCTGACCCCATCACGCTTCCTTCTAATGTCACCAAGGTAGCGGATCGGGGGCGGGGCCAGGATTGGCAGACCCGAACAGCACTGGAAATAAGGTGAGTTTTCACTTTTTCTATAAAGGGGTAAAGGGGGGGCGAGGGGGGTGAGGGGGGGGGGTGACAAGCCACCAAAACAGTGGATTAAACACTATAGGATCAGGAATACATGTTTGTGTTCCTGATCCTTTAGTGTTATTTTAATTATCTCTCACACAACAGCAAGAATAAAGGTTAACAAACGAACATCAAAAACAAAACATAGCAATGACATCACCTTCCTCTTACCAGTCAGTGACAGTACAAAGTATAAAATCCATGGCTTGACAAACGTGAAGCCAGTTAAAAAAAGTTAGGAGCCTTTTATTTTATTTTTACTCAAATTAACAGCAAAAATACAGTTTTTAAAGGGACACTATAGTCACCAGAACCACTACAGCTTTTTTATTTTTTTTATTTTTTATAATCTTTATTAATGTTTAGACATAGGTATAACAAATACAGGGAGTGCAGAATTATTAGGCAAGTTGTATTTTTGAGGATTAATTTTATTATTGAACAACAACCATGTTCTCAATGAACCCAAAAAACTCATTAATATCAAAGCTGAATATTTTTGGAAGTAGTTTTTAGTTTGTTTTTAGTTATAGCTATGTTAGGGGGATATCTGTGTGTGCAGGTGACTATTACTGTGCATAATTATTAGGCAACTTAACAAAAAACAAATATATACCCATTTCAATTATTTATTATTACCAGTGAAACCAATATAACATCTCAACATTCACAAATATACATTTCTGACATTCAAAAACAAAACAAAAACAAATCGGTGACCAATATAGCCACCTTTCTTTGCAAGGACACTCAAAAGCCTGCCATCCATGGATTCTGTCAGTGTTTTGATCTGTTCACCATCAACATTGCGTGCAGCAGCAACCACAGCCTCCCAGACACTGTTCAGAGAGGTGTACTGTTTTCCCTCCTTGTAAATCTCACATTTGATGATGGACCACAGGTTCTCAATGGGGTTCAGATCAGGTGAACAAGGAGGCCATGTCATTAGATTTTCTTCTTTTATACCCTTTCTTGCCAGCCACGCTGTGGAGTACTTGGACGCGTGTGATGGAGCATTGTCCTGCATGAAAATCATGTTTTCTTGAAGGATGCAGACTTCTTCCTGTACCACTGCTTGAAGAAGGTGTCTTCCAGGAACTGGCAGTAGGACTGGAGTTGAGCTTGACTCCATCCTCAACCCGAAAAGGCCCCACAAGCTCATCTTTGATGATACCAGCCCAAACCAGTACTCCACCTCCACCTTGCTGGCATCTGAGTCGGACTGGAGCTCTCTGCCCTTTACCAATCCAGCCACGGCCCATCCATCTGGCCCATCAAGACTCACTCTCATTTCATCAGTGCATAAAACCTTAGAAAAATCAGTCTTGAGATATTTCTTGGCCCAGTCTTGACGTTTCAGCTTGTGTGTCTTGTTCAGTGGTGGTCGTCTTTCAGCCTTTCTTACCTTGGCCATGTCTCTGAGTATTGCACACCTTGTGCTTTTGGGCACTCCAGTGATGTTGCAGCTCTGAAATATGGCCAAACTGGTGGCAAGTGGCATCGTGGCAGCTGCACGCTTGACTTTTCTCAGTTCATGGGCAGTTATTTTGCGCCTTGGTTTTTCCACACGCTTCTTGCGACCCTGTTGACTATTTTGAATGAAACGCTTGATTGTTCGATGATCACGCTTCAGAAGCTTTGTAATTTTAAGAGTGCTGCATCCCTCTGCAAGATATCTCACTATTTTTGACTTTTCTGAGCCTGTCAAGTCCTTCTTTTGACCCATTTTGCCAAAGGAAAGGAAGTTGCCTAATAATTATGCACACCTGATATAGGGTGTTGATGTCATTAGACCACACCCCTTCTCATTACAGAGATGCACATCACCTAATATGCTTAATTGGTAGTAGGCTTTCGAGCCTATACAGCTTGGAGTAAGACAACATGCATAAAGAGGATGATGTGGTCAAAATACTCATTTGCCTAATAATTCTGCACTCCCTGTACATACAAGACAAATATAAATATTACATAAAACACAGACAATGTACAATATATCATTAGTTTACAAACATTACAATTAAACTTAAAAGGATCACTATGGTATTAGGAAAACAAACTCGTTTTCCTGACACTATATAACCCTTAGGTCTCCCCCACCCTCAGGGTCCCCCTCCAGCTGGGATTAAAACCTCTTCAGCCACTTTCCTTAATCCAGCGCCAGGCTCCCTCGGCGCTGGTGACCTCTCCTCCCCTGCCGATGTCAGCTCCCAAGTGGAGCGGAATGCGCATACACGGCAAAAGCCGTGTGCGCATTCAAACAGTCCATAGGAAAGCATTTCTCAATGCTTTCCTATGGACGTTCTGCACGCTGAATGCGATTTTCGCATCCAGCGTCGCAGAAGCGCCTCTAGCGGATGTCAGGAAGACAGCCACTAGAGGCTGGACTAACCCTGCAATGTAAACATAGCAGTTTCTATGAAACTGCTATGTTTAGCTCAATGAAGTGGTCTGGGTGCCAGGTCCCCCAGGTTTTAACCCATTAGATGTAAAGTGGTCTGGGTGACTATAGTGTCCCTTTAAAAAAGACAAGACAATTACAAGCCATGAAGAAGACAAATCATAAAACAGAAAAAAAAGAGAGAATGTGATTGTTTCTGGAGACATTCCCACTACTTCTGGGGGTGACATTGCTTTTGGTAATAGCATGATCTATCCATCTAAAGCCATTCTCTATTTTGAGTTAATATAAAACTTGATTTTTTTTAAAGATGTGTCCAGGTTACTGGGCTAGAGTATCTCCAATTTCCAGATATCAGCATCTTTTTGGCAGCAAAAAAATAAATAAAACATGTATGATTATTATTGTTTCCAGCTCTCTTTTCTAATTTCAATTAGATAAGTAATTTTAACTTATCAAATACCATTAACTATAAAAGTTTAATTAAATCACACTCCCAACAAATGTACAAGAGAGAACCTTCCTTAGTCCCTAAATTCTTAAAGGGATACTCAATGTAGTGGTTCTGGTGTCTATAGCTTGTCCCTGCAGATGGGCCGAGACCATCAAGATTGATTATCTCAGCCATGGAAGCAGGGCCACCCGCGGCAAAACCGGAGCCGTGTGGGGAAAAACGGTGAGTTAAAACAACTTTCTTATATGATCAGAGGGGGGCTGGTCACCTAAATAGGCAAACTAACCGACACACTCACTGACAGATACACGCACAGTCTCAAAAATTATTTTTTTTAAATTATTTTAATTTAAATCAACCTAGCTTCCCTACGTTTGAGAGCTGGAGTGCAATCTTTTCGTTGGTTCCAGTGCCCTGATCCTGTTATCTAGCTCTGCTCTCTCACATGCTGCTTAGTAATGCCAGGGCCGGAGTGGACGTCACGTCACGGCATCAAAGCAGAATGTGCCAGGGAGCAGAGCAAGAAGATGATATCTTCCTTGCCGCAAGCTTTGTGGGGAGGCCCTAAGTGGCCAGTGTTGAGAACCACCCAGGTGCTAGGACAGAATTCTTAGTTGCCATGGCAACCAGGGATTTGTTGAGCCCTTATATATAAACCACAGTTGTGATTTCCAAAACAGGTTAACTAGGGCAATGGTCATCTTCTGTTATCTGACATGTAGGAGAGACAAGCAATGGCGAATGGGAGAAACATGCAATTTCCCCAATACTGAAGGAAGGCATCAAACAATCTTACTTAAATGCCAATCAACAGATAAAGAGATTTCCAATACGCCTTGCTATACCCTGAGAAATATTCTGCCTGGTCCATCTCAAACAGAAATCCTTGACTAAGGTTCACAAAGGCTTGGATTAAGTGCCCTGAGGTTGTTGATACAGCGCATTGCAGTCATGTTGTCCATGTGCAAGAGTGTGCAAATTATCACACTGTCCTTGAAAAGTCTCACCACAAAACAACAAGTCAAGATCTCCAAAAATCTGATGTATAATGTTAATTAATCTATCATCTGCTTACCACTACTTCACAGATTTTAGGATTAAGTAATAAACATGTAAAGAAGTTAATCTTGGCCCGCTCTCAAAGAAGATTCCAGACCCTTCCTAAGCTCTTAACATATTGTTTAGAGTATTTAAAAAGTGTGCACGGACGGTAACGGCTGCCAAGCCTCTGTATTTTAAAGTTTATATGGTGGTACCTTGGAAACGAGTACCACAACTTGCTGATGTAAGGGTTTTGTATGTTAACTTGATTAAATTGCAGTACTACTATGATGGGTCTTTTTGTATCATTTCAAGGTTAGAAGCCCACAGTGCAACAATGTATCTACAGATGCTGTGACATAACTGCAAGACTAATCTTAACCCTGTAAAAGATCATCACCCAATATTTATTGGACCCTGTAGCAAGACTTTTTATGATTATTTGAGTACTACACTTATGGTGGTCTGTTTTATTGTATTTTGTTTTATTGCACTTGGAAGTATGTCCAGGAAACCACATTTATAAGTGTTTTACTTCAGATTGAGAGTGATCACCTACATTAGGTTTTCAAGTATAGCGCTGACACTTTATTTTGTTTATATATTGTGTGTAAAGTTTTTAAGGATCTTTATATGTGTATAGCTGCTGAATTTACTCACATTTTTATTCATATTTATTTATTTGTAAGATTTGCACTCTCCTATTTTGTTTAGATTTATATTTAAAAAGAACTGGACCATTTTAGAGTCCACCTCTGGTATCCCTTCCACTTTATTAGGAAGGCACAATGGGATGAAGGTTTTCAACGTTTAATTTATTTCTCATTACCTTACTAAGTCGGTGTAGTGGACACGTGATCTGAAAGGATCCATCCAGCTGCCCTCAGATAGCAGAGCTTGTCTGGAATAAACAATGGCTTCCCTCCATGTGTCACAATATCTGGGATAACCAAACCCCAATAAAATAATGGAAGACAAGGAGAGCCCATAATACTTCTTCCATTATTTTATTGGGTCATGGTGTTTTGTCTGTCTTTGGCTCTCTTATCAGCAGGTTTGTTATATGAGTGCACCAAATGTAACTTAGAAACACAGGAATTAGTGACAGAGTCACACTCACAAACCTCCAAGGTTTCTTCTGTACATAGATCCAAATCCACTTTCTTTACATGATGCTTCTTGTAAAGCATATTTCCCTTCCTGTCTAAGGGAATCTGAGATTTTGACCTTAAAGGATCACTGTAGTGCCAGGAAAACATACTCGTTTTCCTGGCACTATAGAGCCCTGAGGGTGCCCCCACCTTCAAGGACCCCCTCCCGCCGGGCTCAAGGGTGAGGAAGGGGTTAAAATCTTACCTTTTTCCAGAACCAGGCTCCCTCAGCGGTGGGGAATCTCCTCCTCCTTCTGCCGCAAGCGCATTCAGCCAGTCTCATAGGAAAGCATTCTCACTGCTTTCCTATGGACGGCAGCGTCTTCTCACTGTGAAAACCCCAGTGAGAAGCGCGGAAGCGCCTCTAGCGGCTGTCAATGAGACAGCCACTACAGGCGGGATTAACCCTAATGTAAACATAGCAGACTATAGTGTCCCTTTAAAAAAGACAAGACAATTACAAGCCATGAAGAAGACAAATCATAAAACAGAAAAAAAAAGAGAGAATGTGATTGTTTCTGGAGACATTCCCACTACTTCTGGGGGTGACATTGCTTTTGGTAATAGCATGATCTATCCATCTGAAACTGCTATGTTTACAGCAGAAAGGGTTAATCCTAGATGGACCTGGCACCCAGACCACTTCATTGAGCGGAAGTGGTCTGGGTGCCTATAGTGGTCCTTTAATCATAAAATGACTGAGGATTACACAGTTCAATGTCTAAATTTTACCTTTTCCTTGCGTTTCTCTTGACTAATATTATGGCTACTATAGTTCTGAAAGGTGTGAGTGGATTTCCCCTTAGGCATAATAGCCAAAATAATAGTCAAGAGAAACGCAAGGAAAAGGTAAAATTAAGAAATTAAAAGGCCAGATCAGAAAAAGCAAATGAAATTAATTAACCTCAGAAGTAGGGTAACTACAGTGACGGAACTATCAGAGTTGCTATTGTGACCAAGCCCTACCAAGAGGGGGCACATTCTTGGCAAGGCCTCCTTCCAAAACCATTATTTAGTATATTGCCAATATACAAAATAAGAATGAAACTACTCTCTCATATAGAACACTCAAAAGGTTACTCCAACCCTTTGGATGGGAGGAATTTGTCATGAAAAATGCATAATGGGCACTATTAATTAAAGGTGTTTGCAGAATACCTGAAAAAAAAAAAGAAACAAAAAAACATATTTTACATTCCTTGCAGGTGAACATTTCCGACTGACGCCACATGGGCCTCACGAGGTCCAGTCACAAGATTCTCATAGGCCCTCAGCCTGCAAGGGAGAAGATTAGCACACTTGTCGCCAGGGTGCTGTGCACACTGAGGACAGACGTAAAATATGCCCAGAATCAAGATTAGTCAGCCTGGAGCAGTTCTGGCCTGCCTAAGTTACATGTGATGGAGGCGCTCCTATATAATAGCTCAGTATATGCAGTGTTTCAAGAAGAAAGCCTACACATACATACTCCTACCACCATGACCACTTCAAATCAGTGGTCATTGTGAGTGAAGTAATCCTTTAACAACAGTCACACTTAGTCATCCAACAACCAATTACACACAACGATCACACACATGCCACACATGTGTATTGCTTAGGGAAGTAAGGAGGAGCAACACCAGAGTCACACCCAGGCAACCACCACATACAATCACACTCAGCACCTGCAGCACATCCTACTCACATGCATAGCTGGGGAAGCAAGCAGATACAATCTTTTTTGATTCTTGCACTCAGGTCCAGCAGTTCCCAATTACACCCATGGATTACCAAATAAAGGGAAAGACCAAATGTGCACAATAGCAACAAATTACAAAAAATACAGAGCACCAAAATAACTAGGATAGTACCAAGGCATATGAAACAGTACTGAGCAGGATAGCAGTAGGATTGTATCTACCTTGTGAAAAATGATAGATAAAGGCAGTACGCTACATTCCTCAGCAAGAGCGTTGAGCAGGAAACAGGATGGGGAAGAGCAGAGGCGTAACTAGAAACCACGGGGTAACAGTGTGAAAATTGCCCCCTGGAAATACATAGCATTGGGTGGCCCTAACAGCATGGGCCACCCGATGGACCCCTTCAATGCGGCCCCAGTGGTTATACCGCACGGGCCGAGGCCGCATTACTTAGCCGGCGGGCCCCGCGGTTGAGTGACGGGCCCGGTCGCTGCTGCAACCGCGGTAATTCCGCCACTGGGCAGGAGTAAGAAACTTAACCAGCAAAAGGGGTGGGAAGGAATAAACAGGGCAAGAGAGAAAGCAGTAATCTGCCCAGCAACCAAGTGAACAGCACTAAACTACGAACAATGCCGCTGCATTCAAACTATGTCACTGCACATGTACTGGTTGCATAAAGCCACAGAAAAACTAAACAAAAACAACATTGGCACCCAGAGGCAGCCTACAAAGCCATGCTAACAATACAGGTGGAGAATACCAGCATGGATCCAAGAGGAGACAGGGGAAACTGGAAAAAAAAGTTGCTATGTGGCTAAAATCTCCAGGACAGACAGATCGAAAAGGCAAATCAACAAAGGGAGTCGAATGGGAAGGTGAAAGAAAAACAGTGGGGAACCATAGGCTGAAAATAGTAGAGAGCAAGATGGGAAACCAAAGAAATATGCAGATAGCAAATAATCACAATAAAACCAAATGAATATAGAAAAATGCGAGAGAAGAATAGAAAAAGGCCAATATGGTCCAGTTTAGGTTTCTATACTTTGTACTGTCACTGACTAGTGAGAGGGAAGGTGATTTTGCTGATATATTTTGTTATTGTTTGGTTCTTTTGACAACTTTTTTTTTTTGCAATTTACATTTTTCTTTATTTTCCAAATTATTTCCAGTAAAGGAAAATGAACAAAAAACAAGGGGATACAGAAAAAAAAAAGGGTTTGGGGTACAGTCGGTAGGGTTACATTATTTCATCATATACTCATCGTACAATGTTATGTTATACTCATACTTCATTTAAATAAAATTCATAATGTATACGTCCTGACCGCATTTGTTTTGTTTTATTTTCCCTGATAAATACTGGTGTGTCCACTATAAAATTCACCTCAGGGAAATTTAACCGTTACAAAAAGAAGAGAAGAAAAAATAAAAATAAAAAAATGTCTCTCTACTCCGGTCTTCATATGTTTAGATTAAACTGACAATAGAGGCTTATATTCAGTTTAGCTGCTTAATGTTGTTAAAATACATTAAGTTAAATTAAGTATTAAATTAAATTAAATGTCCTGCTTATTGTATATGCCTTAAATTATGTTCACACCTAACCAGGATAAATAAAAAGACTCAATTTTAACACCTCATATACCCTCAACGTATGTAATATACCACATCTCTCTTATACTGCAGAGGCTCAATCCTGAAGGGCTGGGCCGATTCGTTTATTTCTACTGGGTTGGATTCTAAATTATATTTCTGATAGCAACCATAGAAAAAAATAAGTTTAATTTATCATATCCTGTACTGAATATATACTCCACATATCTATCAAACTTATTTCATTATTGTCTTTGTATATAAATTTTCCAACAATTAGCTACTTTTAGACTTAACTTCCCAATTTTAGTCTGATCCCACATGATAAGCTCATAATCTATAGTCAGAGACATTAATGTTTTGATTTCATCTATTGTAGGTAAGCTTGTAGTCTTCCAATTTCTCGCTATAAAGATTGAGACTATAGATAATAATAAAAAGATTAATTTACGCGTAACTTTAGGTATATGGTCCGGAAAAGCTTTGAGAAGTAGCATTTTCGGTGTGTGGTATGGCTTATAAGATGTCACCTCTTGGATCATTATTTCAACCTCTCGCCATAAGCTATTAACTCTTTCACATGTCCACCAAATATGGAGCATAGTTCCTTTATGAGAGTGGCATCTCCAGCATATATCTTGTGCATCAGAATACATTGCATGAATACGAGTAGGTACCATATACCATCTATATAAGATTTTCCGTGCTATTTCAAAGTGTCCTATACAAGAAGACATTCCCAAATGTGCCGTAAAAATGTTTTGCCAACTTTTTTACGTGCTACAATTGTGAATTGTTAATAAGTTTTGAAAATTGTTTCTTGCTGCCATGGACAATGCATTTTTACATAGAACTTTTTGGTATATTTCTGTTTAAATATAGGCACCCAGACCAATTCAGCTCAATGAAGTGGTGTGGGTGCCAGGTCCCCTTAGTTTTAACCCTGCAGCTGAAAACATAGCAGTCCTTATGGAGTCCAGTGTCAAAAAAGATCCTCATGGGAAAGCATTGAGTAATGCTTTCCTATGGGCGGGTTTGAATGCGCGCCTCTGGCCGCGCAGGCGCTTTCGGCTCCACTCGGAAGCTGACGTCGATGGAGGAGGAGAAGTCACCAGTGCCGAGGGAGCCTGGCGCTGGATTAAGGTAAGCAAATAAATGGTTAGATAACCATTTACTCAAAGCGGAACAGGGCCCTTGTCACAAACTATAGCGTTAGGAATACATATTTGTTTTCCTAATGCTATAATGTTCCTTTAATTAAATAGTTTTTTCAAAAATGTAACAGTATCAGTTAGAACAGTTTGGTACACACAGGTACCTAATACAGAAATCAGACCATGAAACAAGATTTGCATTTCCCCATGTACGCCAGAAGAGACATGCAGGTCTCATTTTCAGCATGATCTAGCAATTTAGACTACAATGAAGCGGTCCATAGAGCTCAGATAGCTCACACCTGAAATTGTGCTTTGCATTATGACGAACCGCAAAAGATCTGTAAAGGTCAAAGCAGATAAATGGTGCATTCGGTGTTTGGTTCTATACCAAAAAGTAGAAATAAAAAGCTGCAGACCTCCTCCATACATATTGGAGGGGAGAGAGAAAGGGGGAGAGAGAGAATGAGGGAGGGAGTGGGGGAGAGGGATCGCCAGAGTTCTCAGAAGCGAGTTATGTGAGGGGCACATGCCTCTGACTCCATGGCCACAGACACAAGCCCACAGCATGGATGTTTTGTGTAGTCCCACAGCAGTGATGGCTAACCTTGACACCATAAATTGTTTCAAGGTTAGCCATCACTGTCCTACAGGGTTCCCTCACGCATCCCCTTTTTGCCTCAGTTATTTTAACCCCTTAACGCCGTTACGGCGTTCTATGTCGTCCCGCATTAAATGGGCTTTAAAGCCGTTGCGGCGGCATAGAACGCAGTAACGGCTTGCATCCCCAGGAGCTCGGAGGTACTTACCTCCGCCGTGATTCTCTTCTGGAGGGCTGCCTGACAGCCCAGACAGCCCTCCCCTGGCAAATGAGGCCCCTGGGGGCCATGTGATCGCTCTCAAAGAGGGATCTGCCAGCAAGAGGACTGTGTGATATTTCAGATAGTCCCCCTGCTGGTGGGAAGTGTAAAAAAAAAATGATTAAACAAGTTTTAAAATAAATTAAATGTATTTATATATAAATATAAAAAATATATATTATAAATAGAATATATATACATCTTATATATATGTAACGTCATACGTAATGTATTTTAATATTAATATAAGTACATATATTAGTATTAAAATACACTTAGAATGACGTTACATATATATGATAGATATATATTATATATAATACATCTATATATATTTTATATTTATATATACACGTATAATTACAATAATAAATAAAATATTTTTAAAAAATTAAATTAATTATATATACATATGTAATTTCATTCTAACTGTATTCTGTTATTAATATATATATATTGGTAACAAAATACACTTAGAATGATATTCTATATCTATCTATATATAAAAGACAAATAACCGCAAATATATATATATATATATACAGATAAATATATATAATTACATAAATAACTACATAAGTGTACACGTAGACTTTAAATACATATATATGTATATATATTAAAATTCTACGTGTATATTTAAGTAATATTTTAACATAATTATGTGATTTAATTAGTTAAAATTTGATTGACATGCCTGACAACCCAGGCAAAAAGTACAGAGCATTTGAATTGCAAGCACTATATTTAACCCTGTAACTTTCCAAGACACCATAAAACCTGTACATGGGGGGTACTGTTTTATTTAGGAGACTTTGCTGAACACAAATATTAGTGTTTCAAAATGGTAACTTGTATTACAACAATGATATTTTTAGTAAAAGTGAAGTTTTTCGCATTTTTCACACATGAACGGCACTTTTACTGACGATATTGTCCTGAGTAACGGCACTATTCCTGAGTAAAACAGTACCCCCCATGTACAGGTTTTATGGTGTTTTGGAAAGTTAGAGAGTAAAATATAAGGCTTGCATTTCATTTTTTTTCACATTAAAATTTGACAGATTGGTTATGTTGCCTTTTGAGACCGTATGGTAGCCCAGGAATAAGAATTACCCCCATGATGACATACTATTTGCAAAAGTAGACAACCCAAGGTATTGCAAACAGGGTATGTCCAGTAATTTTTAGTAGCCACTTAGTTACAAACACTGGCCAAATATTAGTTTTTTTGCTTTTTTCACACAAAAACAAATATGAACACTAATTTTGGCCAGTGTTTGTGACTATGTGTGACTAAGTGGCTACTACAAAAGACTGGACATACCCCACTTGCAATACCTTGGGTAGTCTACTTTTGCAAATGGTATGCCATCATGGGGGTAAATCTCATTCCTGGGCTACCATACGGTCTCAAAGGTAACATTACTAATCTGGCAAATTTCAATGTAAAAAAACTGAAAAATGGAATGTGCTATATTTGACCCTGTAACTTTCCAAAACACCGTAAAAACTGTTAATGGGGCTACTGTTGTACTCGTGGAATTTGCTGAATCCAAATATGTGCTTTTTTTGCAGTAAAAACTAAAAGTATTATGACATTTACAGCTAAAATATGAGGCGGAACTACAAATTTTTAAAAAATATTTAAAATTTCTCACAGTTTTTTTTTATTTTATTCATAATAAATTATGTTTCATATATAAATATTTGATATGAAATGAAAGCCCTGTTTCTCCTGAACAAATGATATATAATAAGTGTGGGTGCATATAATATGAAAGAGGTGAATTACGGTTGAACAGACATATAGCGCAAATTCCAGGTTTTGTTTACATTTTGTTTTGATCAGAACGTGTACTATTGTCTCTGTCCTGAAGGGGTTAAGACAGTCTGGAAATGGTCTGATTCTGTTGATAAGATCCATTGGGTTCAGATTTTGATATATGTCTGTTTTACATAGAATTTTAAAGGCTATATTGCTCTGATGGAATTTTACCATCATTGAACTTGAAATGTATAGCACCCTCGACTTTTACAGATGTTTTATTTCAAACCTTGATTTGCCAAGAGTTCCTGAGCAAGAATGCATTGGATATAACTAATGATAGTAACCATTAGGTTAGGACCTGCCATTTTGGGACAGCAGCAGACCTGTGCATATTTCGTGACTTTTTTTATTAATTATTTTTATTCCTTGAATGATCAACAATAGTCTGACAACTTCCTCTTACCTGTCAGTGTCCATTTGTCATTGGAGCTACCAATATTTTTTGGGTTTTAAATAAATATATTGCAAAGTCAATAAATCAGTGGCTCATATTCTGCACACACTGGAACGAACATGACCAAACTTCTGATGAAAGTCTTCTGCTGCTGCTATCATAGCTACTTTGTCTATGTAGACAGCAGGTCTTCTTGAAGCAAGAAAATATTGTGCCTTGCGCAGACTCCAACCAATAACATACATGAGAAAACCACACACTGCTGCGGTAGACCTGCCAACGCCAGCATTACAATGTACGTAGACTGTGTGCCCATTTTCTAATAGTCCAAACAGCAGGTATACAGCTTGCGGTATCATCTGTATTCTGGCTAAAAATAGAAATATTATTTTAGACATATTTACAAAATTTATTTTACAAAACATTTATAGACAAGCTCACTAAATCGTTTTATTCTGAGCTACTGTAGGAATATTTTCAAAAAACAAAGAAATGTATTTCAGAAAAACTGTACTTTGTTATTTTCAAATGACTTTTTCAATTTTTATCTGTACTTCTCTAAACATGTGCAAGCATTTGTGTTTAATTACAAGCTTATAACTTTTGGTGAACTTATTTCCTAGATTTTTGATCAAAAGAATTGTAATAGTCTTTCCTAAACTTTGAGCTTTTCTAGGATCACAAAATTCATGTTAAATAATTTTGCATTGCTTTGGGACTACTGCTGAAGTTAAATAAACAATCTGGGCACCATAATAACTTCATCGAAATTAAGTTGTTATAGTGACAGGAGCAGGGCCGGCGCCTCCTATAGGCGACTTAGGCAGTTGCCTAGGGCGCACCATATTTGAGTGACCGGCAGGAGGGTAGCGCACAGCACTCCCTCCTACCGGTCACTCAGTGTAGCGTAGCCAGTCGGTGCGGACCGCGGTACAGGAACATCGGTTTCCTGTACCCGGCCAGACTGACATCAAGTGCTCACTGAGAGAGCTCTTCCTTTCAGTCCGGCCAGGTACAGGAAACAGAAGCTCCTGTACCGCGGTCTGCGACACCTGGCCACGCTACAAAGGTAGGTAGGAGGCACAACAGGGAGGGTAACACAAGGGGGGAGGGAGGACCACTAAGATGGGGGGGGAGGACCACTAAGGGTTTTGAGGGGACACACACACACATCACTATGGGGTTGGGGGAGAGGGAGAACCACTAAGGGGCTTAGGGGTGGGGGGGGGGAGGGAGGACCACTTAGGACGTGGAGAGGGAGGACCACTAAAGGGGTGGGGGGGAGGAAGGATCACTAAGGGGGGTAGGGGTGAGAACCACTAAGGGAGAGGGCAACTAAGGGATTGGGGAAGAGGGAGGACCACTTAGGAGCTTAGGGGTAGGGGGGAGAGGGAGGACCACCAAGGGGTAGGGGAGTGGAGAGGGAGGACCACTAAGGGGGTGGAGAGGGAGGACCACTAAGGGGGTGGGGTAGGGAGGAAGGACAACTAAGAGGGGTAGGGGCAAGAACCACTAAGGGGAGTGAGAGGGCCACTAAGGGGTGGGAGAGATGAGGACCACCAAGGAGAGGACTATTAAGGGGAGGAGGGAGAGGACCACTAAGGGTGTGGAGAGGGAGGACCACTAAGGGTGTGGAGAGGGAGGACCACTAAGGGGGTGGAGGAGGGAGGAAGGACCACTGAGGGGGTAGGTGCGAGGACCACTGAGGGGAGAGTGAGAGGGTAACTAAGGGGTTGGGCGAGACGAGTGCCACTAAGGGGGGGAAGAGGGAGAGGACCACTTGGGGGGGAGGAGGGAGAGAACCACTTAGGAGGGAGCGGTGGGAAAACCACTAAGGGACAGGGAGGGGAGAGGAACACTGAGGGACAGGAAAGAGAAGGGAGAGACCACTAAGGTACATGGGGCAGAGGAGATCTCCAAGGACGGAGCGGACAGCTCTAAGGGAGGGGAGGAGAGATCACTAAGGGAGGGGAGGAGAGATCACTAAGGGACAGAGGGATAGGGGAGATCACTAAGGGACAGGAGGAGGAAGCTCTCAGAGACAGGTGGGCAGAGCACTAAGGGACAGGGGGCCAAGGGAGAGCACTGAGGGACAGGAGCAAGGGGGAGAGCACTGAGGGACAGGAGGGAAGGGGAGAGCACAAAAAAATAATAATAAAGAGCTGCTCCCCTCTCAACCCCTATCCTACCCCACAAACCCTCTCTTTCAAATTACACACACACACAATGCATCCTTACACATACACAGAAATACACAATGCATCCCTACACACACACAGAAACATACAATGCATCCCTACACACACACACACACACACACACACACACAGAAACATACAATGCATCCCTACACACACACACACACAGAAACATACAATGCATCCCTACTCACACACAGACACACCATAACACACAGTGCATCCCTTACGCACTAGAAACAAAATGCATTTCTTACACACACTCAATGCACCCCTTACAGACACACACTGCATTACATAACATACACAGAAACACACTTTGCAACCCTTAAACACACACCCAGAAACACACAATGCATTCCTTACACACTGCATCCCCTATACACATCCCTTACACAAATTGGTATCCCTATACACTACATTACATAAGAACACACACACATTACATCCTCTAGTCTACAATAACACATAACACATCCCCTACACACATGCACTCCACTCCCTGTGAGCGAACTCATGGGTGGGCCATGCAGGTGGACTTATGGGCGGGCTTGTAGGCATACTCACGGTCAGGCCCTGTGGCCCAGACCTTCAGCTGTGTAAAGGGCCCCAAAAAATAAAGCTGCTTCCTGTTCGTTGATTTTAGTGAGCACTGTTTCAAACAGTCTCCAGAGATCCTCATGTACACCAGACCAAAGGAGCCATACTGCAACCTGAGCCCATCACCCTATTGTCCTCATCTGGTGGTAAGTAGGCAATCCAGTATATTATTAGTGGCACTAATCTCTCATTTATCTCACATAAGGGCCATTATAATCACCAGAACCACAACAGCTTAATGTAGTGGTTAAAATATTCTCATATGGTTTAAAAGGGATTTTATAGTGTTAGAAATACAAATATGTATTTCTAACACTATAGTGCCCTCTGGTCACATGCTCCCTCACGCCCCTCCACTTCCTTTGGTACATAAAGGGTTAAAAAAGATTTTTACTAACGGATTCTAAAAACTATACTGGTTGTAGAAGTTATGGTGCTTTTAGGCTATGGGCGCTGTCCCACAGGCATTTGTGGTGAAATCTGCACATGCTAATTGGCAATATTGTTTTGTGAATATTTGTAAAACAGTGGTAGGCTGAGCTAATCAGCTAATGCCCTAAAATGGTTTACAAAATGGGGAGTGGCAACCATAGTGTACTAGCACTATATTCAGTGGGCTGAAGTGGTCATAGGAGATTCACTGAAAGGACAGTTTAAAGGGACACTATAGTCACCAGAACAACTACAGCTTATTGAATTTGTTCTGGTGAGTAGAATCATTACCTTCAGGCTTTTTGCTGTAAACACTGTCTTTTCGGAGAAAATGCAGTGTTTACATTACAGCCTAGTGATAACTTCACTGGCCACTCCTCAGATGGCTGTTAGAGATCCTTCCTGGGTCATGGCTGCCTGCATGCAGACACTGAACTTTCCTCATAGAGATTCGTTGATTCAAGTCATCTCTATGAGGATATTCTGATTGACCAAGGCTGTGTTTGAATTGTGCTGGCTCTGTCCCTGATCTGCCTCTTCGTCAGTCTCAGCCAATCCTATGGGTAAGCACTGTGATTGGATCAATCTACCACTTCTAATGATGTCAACAGGCAGTGGGCAGGTCTAAAGGAAACAGGGACTAAGTAAGCAGGTCCAGACTTGAATACAAGGAAGATTTTACTATATTTAGGGAGAGGGGATCAGGGTGGCTAGATGGTGGTTTTAACCCTATAGAGTCAGGAATACATGTTTGTGTTCTTGACCCTATAGTGCTCCTTTAAGTACTAATTAGTGTAGAGACTAATAGTGTAGAGACAGGAGTATAGTGAAGAAATATGAAATAACACCTTTAGATGAGATTATAAATTATTACGTTATTCTTCATGTGACACAGGGGGCATAAGAGGCTATATATCCTTTTAATTTATTTGAAATTTATGCTTTTACTACTTGTTGTTTTTTTTTGTTTTTTTATAATTAACTGTATTTCACAGGCAGTTGTTTTTTTTTTTTAACCAAATCAGAACCAAGGTTGGAGTTTGACAACGTATAATTTGCAAAGCCAAAATATACACTTAGGAAGTCAGAAAGCATTACATTAAGCAATTTATCTCTCATTCTATTTCTTAGTACTATAATTTCTAAGGTATTAAAATATTATGCAGCACTGTACAGTGGACTTAAAGGAACACTCTAGTGTCAGGAATACAAACAATGCATCTGTGAGTAACGTTTTAGTGCCATACAGAGCGTGAATGCCACTATAGGTGTTCCCAGGCAGCAATGTGAAAAGGCAGTGTTTACATTAAAAAGCCTGCGGGGACATACTATACACATCAGAACGAATACAATAAGCTGCAGCTGTTCTGACTATAGTGTCCCTCTAATTTGTTTGTGCTGCAGGATTACCAAATGTAACAATCAACATTTACGTTAAACTATGAAATTATTATCTGAACAGCACTAATTTGCAAACGTTCATATGCTGGGGATAACTTCAATACCTAAATTATCGGAAAATGTTTTTAGACCACCTTGTCCAACCCTGACCCCTCAGAATGTGAGCTCGTTGAACAGGTTCCTTGTGGAGACCTTCTGATCCTATACATGTAATAGGTCTTACAATCCCCTACAAAAAATATTGAACTTTTTGTATGAAGATAAAAATATAATTTATTGATCCTTGTGTATATATAAAAAGCTATCAGTTTTAAATGTATTTTTTTGAAAAGAATATTAACAGGAATTGCAAACATTGCTATAAAGAATAGCCTTTTAGTTATACAAGGAGCACTAAATTATATGTTTAACCTTTATTGGTTGGTTGTTATCTTTATATAAAAAGTTCAATACTTTTTGTAGTTGGTTGTGACACGCAGCTTAGTTGTTCAAATATTTATTAACAAGAAGGTATCCCTATTTTAGGGAAAGCACAGTCCTCTTTTTTTCTGTATATTTTCCCACATACTTAGGTTAGAGGTATTTTCCTAATAGGACTTTTCTCCCTCATAGTTCCACCCCTTTCCCTTCCACACCTGTTTTTTTTTTCCTCTCTCTCTCTCTCTCCTGCTTTTCTTTTTCTTTTGCACTGCTCCATTAATTTTTACTTATATGTAATAGGTCTTGTTGCAACTACTTGTTAGTTAGTCCACTTATTGTACAGCGCTGTGGAATATGTTGTGGACTTTTTCACCAAAGCATTTTACAAACATTCTAAAGTCTACATTAAAATAATCTTCTGTGCTTGCTTCTCTTACTAAAAATATATTTATTAATTCAGGGCTCGACAAATCCCAGGCGCCAGGCCGCCAGGCCGCCACGGCAACTGAAAATTTCGCCCTGGTGCCTGGGATTTGCCAGCTCTCTAGTTAGTGTGGCCGCCGAGGGAGCTTTGATGGCGGCCGTCACGGTGAATATTGGAGGTGGCCGCCCTGAGGAGCATGGATGGGGCCACCTGCCCTGAGGAGCATGGGTGAGGCCGTCTGCCCTGAGGAGCATGGATGGGGCCGCCCGCCCTGAGGAGCATGGAGGTGGCCGCCCGCCCTGAGGAGCATGGAGGTGGCCGCCCGCCCTGAGGAGCATGGATGGGGCCGTCTGCTCTGAGGAGCATGGAGGGGGCCACCCACCCTGAGGAGCATGGAGGCAGCTGCCCGCCCACAGGAGCATTGTGGGCGGCGGGCGAGGGAGCAGTACTGTGCTTGCAGCTGCTCTCTGCTCCCTCGCGCTGTCTAATGATGCCAGAATATCACGTAGTTCTGGCTCCGGCATCATTACAGAGGGAGCAGAGATAAGCTACAGGCAGAGTACTGCTCCTTCGCACAAAGGAAGAGAGCAGCCCAACTGGACCCCAGGAAAGACCCACTCAGCTCTACCAAAGGTACGGAGGCTGAGTGGGTTTCAATTAAATCAAAAATGTAAGTGTATGTGAGCCTGTCAGAGTGTGTGTGAGCCTGTCAGAGAGAGAGAGAGTGAGTGAGAGTGTGAGTGTGTGTGCCTGAGCGAGCCTGTCAGTGTGTGTATGTGTGTGTGTGAGAGAGCGCCTGTCAGAGTGTCTGTATGTGTGTGTGAGCGTGCGAGAGCCTTTCAAGAGAGTGTGTGTGAGCACCTGTCAGAGTTTGTGTGTGCGAGTCTGTCAGAGTGTGTGTGAGCCTGTCAGAGAGAGAGAGTGTATGTGTGTGTGTGTGTGTGTGTGTGTGTGTGTGCCTGAGTGAGCCTGTCAGAGTGTGTGTGAGAGAGAGAGCCTGTCAGAGTTTCTGTATGTGTGTGTGAGAGAGCGAGAGCCTTTCAAGAGAGTATGTGTGAGCACGTGTCAGAGTTTGTGTGTGCGTGCCTGTCAGAGTGTGTGCGTGCCTGTCAAGAGTGTGTGTGTGCCTGTCAAGAGTGTGTGTGTGCCAGTCAAGAGCTTGTGTGGGCAAGCCTGTTGTCTGAGTGATTGTGTATGTGAGCTTGTCAGAGTGTGTGTGTGTGAGAGCCTGTCAGAGTGTGTGTGCGTTTAGGTACTTGCCCCCTCCGATCGCATGAGGAAGGTGTTTTTGCTCACCTTAGGAAAGCAATCCACATCTCCTCATAGAGATGCATTAAATCAGGCCTGTCCAACCTGCGGCCCCCAGATGTTGCCGAACTACAACTCCCATGGGTCTTTCAATGAAAAAGATAGCCAGGGAATCATGGGAGTTTTAGTTCAGCAACATCCGGGAGGCCGCAGGTTGGACAGGCCTGCACTAAATTAATGAATCTCTATGAGGAACATTCAGTGACTCCATGCAGAGCTTGGAGACACTGAACCTGGGTGCTGCACTTGGTGCAGCAGTGACCCAGGACTCTATAGTGGCCGTCTGAGTGACTGTCACTAGAGGTTTTACTAAGCAGAAATGTAAACTTGGCCTTTTCACAGAAAAAGCAGTGTTTACACTGAAACGCCTGCTATGGACACCAGAACAACTACATCAAGCTGTAGTGGTTCTGGTGACTACAGTGTCCCTTTAAGAATTGCATTTTCTCATTGAAAATGACTGGCTCCTAACTTTTTTAGCTGGCTCTTAGATTCCAAACAAATTTTTCAAGCCCTGTATTAATTACTTAAAATCTATCACAATAGTACACCACTAAAAGAGCATATAGATTGTTGGGTTAGAAAAAATTCAGCAAAAGGAATACATATTTACCTTCTGTGCTCATATCTGCAGTAGGTATCCATACATACTTCAGGCCTGCTTCTTTGTACATCCTGATCATGGTTTCAGGGCTCATACTATCAGGATATGGATTGCATCCCCGGGAATTATGGACGATATCCCATTCGGTTTGGAAGTTCAGTACAGCCGTTATTCCCAATTCATGCTTCATTTTGATAGTCACATGCTCTAACTGTCGTGGACAACTTCCAAGCCAAATATTTGGTAAGATTCTAAATTAAAATGTACAATAAAGATTCTATAATAGCACAACATTCACTTTTCAAATGAGAAGAAACATAAAATACATCCAGATATAGGAAAAAAAACTACTCTGATGCTAAAAATGTTTTGAGAAGGTAATATGGGCTTAACCCAGAGCATACAGTAATGAACAAAAGACAAATGGGGAAAGGTGCCTAGAAAGAGGATCCTAACCTCATTGAAATTACCTCCAATTAAAGAACATTCTCAGTAATAGCAAAGGATAAATACAACTTTATTAATAATTGAGAACAAATGAAATACAAAACGTTCAATGTGCCCCCCCAACAAAAAAGTGAGGTGAATTAAATAGTCCAATCATGGACTACTTAATGCAGTTAAAAAGAATGGGGAATCTAGAGTTAAACTGGGATATCTACATAAGATCTTAGGTCGCTAGAAAGTAATTACATTAAACAAGCAACCATTGAAGACTTGTAATACGATCCCTAAAGCAGTAGTAAGGTGCTGCAGTACCTATGAATAATAAAAATGCATAAGTAAAAAAATTGCATAAACAGAAGGGCATAAATCAATACACAGAGTAAAACACCAGATTTGTTTATATATATATATATATATATATATATATATATGTTACTTAGAGAGAACACCTGTGGTTTTTATGTTATTAGATAAATAACATATAAATAATAAGTGTACACAGTATATACGGCCACCAGAAGGGGCTATAGACTTAAACCTCAGCCAATTTAAAAGATAATCAATCTATAACAAGCAACTAAATAACAACATTACAGACAATCACTCGAATATCGCATATAGAAAATAGCAGGCCTTTCTCAAGAGCAAACCACCAACTGAGATGCACTTGCTTTTAAAGGTTGTTAGAACCAACGTCTGCATGCACACACCTTATATATCACATTACTGCATTATTAAGGTAACTGTGATAGAGCATGCCATTTATTTTTTAAGAATAGAGAAGAAATAACAAGAAGGCCTAGAATATCGATCAATGCTAATCAATAGTGAAGTATCTGGCATAGCTAGGTGCTTGAGTGTGGTTAAGAGGGCCTCTTGTAGTAGTTTAGTTTAGGCGTTAAATAGGTCAGGCAGAATATATAGGTTTCGTCTCAGGTTAGGGTTAATCGATTGTAAGACCACTGGGTCCACTTCCCTTTGGATGTTTGTGTTTTACATAAACTAGGCACTGGGCATTGGCTCCCCGAGATGGGTGTGATGGTGAGTGCATAGGGTTTATGGGGTTTGTCTGTGGCTCCGCTATGAGCTTTGGGATAGCTGGTAGGTGCTAGGGCCATGTATGTGCTTAGGGTGGATACCTACGCTAGGCGGTGACACAGCAGACAGTGTGCAGCTGGTGTAATAGCGTAAGCTGTTTCTCCCAGTTTCAAGCCTACAAAATTAAAGATATGCAGGTATAAAGCATGTTGACAGGTGAAATAGGCAAAGATAGGATAGTGCTCGCAGTAAGTAACAACATATGGGTGGATAGAAATGTAGGTTGGCCTGCCGTGGTTAGTGGAGTATCAAGTACCTGGATGGCCAGACCACCGACCATCCAGGTACTTGGAATGTGGATTTTCGAATAAGCCGATGCCCCGGCTTGGTGGCAGGCTGAGGGGGTTGGGCGGTAACATAAGGCAGAGTCCGATCAGCCCTCCCCACAGCCCCAGGCCGTCATGAAGGCCTGCACCTGTGTACCACGAACTTGGTTGCTCGTAGAAGAGGCCTTTAATTGCAGGGGTCGGCGGTGGATCTTGATGGACTGTTGCCGCCTGCGGCATTGGATCCCCTGCGGCTGTGGCTGATGCACTTGGGGTATGTCCCTGTTGGTCTTCAGCCCGGGTGGTCCAAGTGTGTGAGTCTGCATCGCTGTTGTGGAAGGAACACCAAGGGGGAGTCCGCTCTTCTCCCATTCCTCTGCTCTCTGTTTTCTCTCCTCAACTGGAGCTCTTGGCGCTTCAAGGTGGACTTATAGCTTGGCCCAGAATTTGTTGAAAAGTCCCATCCAGGCGCTGAAGTGTTAACTCATATGTACTGAGTGCGTTCATGTCAGGTTGCTGTTCACGTGGCTGCAGCATGTCTGCCGTATTGGGGTATTCTGCCCCATCCAGTATCTGTGTCAAAGCGGGTGCTGGAAGGCGGCTGCGGTTACTGGTGGTTGCAAGTGGGGACCAGGATAACCCCCGCTGGTCCAGAGGGGAGGGGGGACAGCAAAGCGCCAGTCGGAGAACTGGGAGAGCAGCCAGCTCAAGCTCAGGTAGGCCTCAAGCCTAGAACAGCAAAATTCGGTGCTGCACTGGGTCGTGTATTGTATCCCCGTGTGCACTGTCGTCTGCTTAGCAAAGTGGGTATCAATCCAGGTCGCTATAGGTGTGTGGCCCGCAACTTGGCCCAGTTTTCGGGAACGGCTTCAGCAGGCAAGCTCTGCTCCCCCGCCGATGCACTTTTATTTATTTTATTTCTCACTTCTTAGAATGGGGTTCCTAGCACTATAATGCGTGTCAACTCTTTGGTACCTTGATTCGGATATCTATATTTAGATTGGAATAGGGGGTCTGCCTCGAAGCAGCAGGTGGGGAGGAGGTCTTTTATAATTATTTGGCAGTAGGGATGTACAGTGGGCAGTTATATTTCCACTATTTGCCTTTTCTAACACTAACCATTACTCTGTGCCTGCTATTTCTATATGCGATATTGGAGTGATTGTTTTGTCTTTTGTTCACTTTTCAAATTAAATAACGTAAATGAACAAAAAGGTCAATTAATGAGATGCAGTAAGTAATCAGTTTGTGTAATGTAGGACATAAAAGTTTGGGGAAAAGTCTTGAATTAATATTTTAGGATAAGATTAGCAACTACTTTGATTTTTTTTTTTGGATGAACTTTTGTTACACATTAATTTAGCACTTTCTTTTATGTACACTTAAATGTTTTAAATACTTTTTTTTTTAAGATTAGATAGATAGATATTTATTCTGGTACCCTATGTATACAGGGCACAAGATGCAAATAAATTACAGTATTAAAGAACATTTGAAAAATACAACACAAAACCACTTTCTCATAGCTTTGCTTATAATAATCTAATCGTGTTCGAGACCTCCAACAAAAGCCTGGTACATGCAGCAATTGTTGCATGTACTGGGATCTCCCAGAACCACCAACTATTTTTGATTGCATTTGGCATTCAATTACTTTGGCATGGTGTCACAGTGATCAGATGTCCGGGACAGCCTGTGGGGGCTATTTTTGGACACCATCACTTGCAAGATTATAGCACCAGTCCCAAAGGAGTTACAACAACATGGGATAAACCGGCATGCATTTTTAAAGTAAATGCCATCTTATGTGCTGCATGGATTCTGCATGACTGAAACTGAAGCATGCAGGCTGATCAGGTTGCCAATAGTAGCCTTATTAGTACTACAGTGAAAGACTATTACAGATAAAAAGGGTAATTTAGATAATGTGGCAGGAGTGAGAATTTCAGCCACAATTCAGCTCTTGCAATGAACATGTATGTTAGTTGGTTTAGTTGGTTAGAGTATGGTCTGACACTGTCTGAGCAAGTCTGCAATCTGATTAGTTGTAAGGTGGCACGAGAGGAAATAAGATCTTACCATAAGGTTGGTAAAGATGTGGGTTTCACTACCATTTTATTTATTCTTGCAGATAGAGATTCAGTCTTTGAAAATTAATGACAGGCATCCTTTTTCTCTACAATTTCTGTTTCTTAGAAGTGATAGAGAGAGTGCATAACCAGGGCTCCAGTATTCAAGTGGTAAAAGTAGATGGCTGCACTCTCAGTCCTAAAGACCGAGAGTGCAACCATCTACTTTTACCACATATATATCTTATTGCTTGACTGGTGTGCAGATTTTTGTTTAACATTGTATTGAATATGTGTGTGTATGTATGTGTGTGTATATATATATATATATATATATATATATATACACATACATACACACACACATATACATATACACACATACACACACACAAAAATAACACATCCTAGATCTGAATGAATTAAATATCCTTCTGAAATACTTTGTTCTTTACATAGTTGAATGTGCTGACAACAAATATCACACAAAAATTTAAAAATGGAAATCAAAATTTTCAACCCATTGAGGTCTGGATTTGGAGTCACACTCAAAATTAAAGTGGAAAAACACATTACAGGCTGATCCAACTTTGATGTAATGTCCTTAAAACAAGTCAAAATGAGGCTCAGTCGTGTGTGTGGCCTCCACGTGTCTGTATGACCTCCCTACAACGCCTGTGCATGCTCCTGATGAGGTGGCGGATGGTCTCCTGAGGGATCTCCTCCCAGAGCTGGACTAAAGCATCTGCCAACTCCTGGACAGTCTGTGATGCAACGTGACATTGGTGGATGGAGCGAGACATGATGTTCCAGAAGTGCTCAATTGGATTCAGGTCTGGGGAACTGACGGGCCAGTCCATAGCATCAATGCCTTCGTCTTGCAGAACTGCTGACACACTCCAGCCACATGAGGAATCCAGGGCCAACCGCACCAGCATATGGTCTCACAAGGGGTCTGAGGAGCTCATCTCGGTACCTAATGGCAGTCAGGCTACCTCTGGCGAGTACATGGAGGGCTGTGCGGCTCCCCAAAAAAATGCCACCCCACACCATTACTGACCCACTGCCAAACCGGTCAAGCTGGAGCATGTTGCAGGCAGCAGAACGTTCTCCACGTCATGGCCAGACTCTGTCACATGTGCTCAGTGTGAACCTGCTTTCATCTGTGAAGAGCACAGGGCGCCAGTGGCGAATTTGTCAATCTTGGTGTTCTATGGCAAATGCCAAACGTCTTGCACGGTCTTGGGCTGTAAGCACAACCCCCACCTGTGGACTTCGGGCCCTCATATCACCCTCATGGAGTCTGTTTCTGACCGTTTGAGCAGACACATGCACAATTGTGGACTGCTGGCAGTGCTCCTCCTATTCCTCCTTGCACAAAGGCGGAGGTAGCGGTCTTGCTGCTGGGTTGCTGCCCTCCTACGGCCTCCACCACGTCTCCTGATGTACTGGCCTGTCTCCTGGTAGCGCCTCCATGCTCTGGACACTACGCTGACAGACACAACAAACCTTCTTGCCACAGCTCGCATTGATGTGCCATCCTGGATGAGCAGCACTATCTGAGCCACTTGTGTGGTTTGTAGACCCCGTCTCATGCTACCACTAAAGTGAAAGCATCGCCAGCATTCAAAATTGACCAAAACGTCAGCCAGGAAGCATAGGAACTGAGAAGTGGTCACCGCCTGCAGGACCACTCCTTTATTGGGGGTGTCTTGCTAATTGCCTATAATTTCCATCTGTTGTCTATCCCATTTGCACAACAGCATGTGAAATTGATTGTCACTCAGTGTTGCTTCCTAAGTGGACAGTTTGATTTCACAGAAGTGTGACTGACTTGGAGTTACATTGTGTTGTTTAAGTGTTCACTTTATTTTTTTTGAGCAGTGTGCGCACTCACGCACACACACACACACACGTCAAGCAATAAGACTTGCTTTTCCCACAGAAATCACAAATTTGCAGTGATGTTACTACCGCAAAGGATTCTGGGTGGGCATATGCAAATTAGTTCAAATTTTGTATTTAGCATTGGCTATACAGTTTATTAATGGTGGTGATGCTCAATGATATTCATTCAATACTTTCAAAATCAAGTTTTTCACGCAAACATAGGTATAGAGGCAAGTTGATAAGTACATTTAGCAAATGTAACTGGTAAGTTAATTAAAAAGTACAAAAATACAACACAAACGACTGTAGAAGGTCCCTCAAGATAGCTGAAATTAGCAGGATATCTACTGTTTCTTCTCCCACATATTGTTGCCAAGATGTCGGTTAATTCAATTTATTTAAAGGTAAAATTGTGGAAACTATTCTACAATTTGCTTCACATATAACTTTGAAAAGGTTTAATATTACTAACATTACTAATAAAACAGAAATAAATTAATCCACATTAATTATGTATGATATGTTCATCTTATTTAAAGTTTTGAGAATATATTACCTGGAGAAGTGCATTCCTTGTTTATCCGCAAACTGAAAATAAAAGTTAGTAGTGTGCTTCATCTCATCAGTATGACCAGTAGTTTCAATCCAATGCCCAATTTCATGGCAATAAACTCCATCCACTATGTCGCTCTCATTATATTCTGAACATCGATCATGGTGAGGACCGGCACCTGTAATAACATTTAAACATATTTTTATTTTTTATCTTAATTGTTTTTGCTTCAACATTCCATTTCAAACAAATACCATTGTGGCGTGAGTAACCTCGCCACTGGCTTTTGGAGGGGCCTATTTGCCAGCCTCCTACCCTGTGACTATGGCCCCTGTGTCAAATCCTGGTTAGAACCACTGTGTGTGCCCTGTTTAAACTTGTATGGACACACTTCGAACTTTCGAAGTGGCACTTCGAACTTCCAAACTATGTTCGGTAATTCGAACGGTATTTCAACTATTTGAAATAGACCGGCCGCAGAGCCTGATTCTCTGGAACTGTTTTGGGCATGAAGCAATGCGTGCAGTCGGTCAAAAAGAGACTTGCTCTGATCTGGGTGATTTTCGGACATGTTGTCAGATCAGGGCCCTTCATGAAGTCTTGGCTCATGTTTGGGGGATTGGAAAACAACATACACTCTGGGGATTGCTGCATCACATTTGCTAAGAGCTGTTCCTGCTACGCTCTCTGGAGTAGGAGAGGTCTACCCACTGGAAGCTGGATCCTGGTCTTGGGTTCAGGGTGGGTGGAGGACGGCGAGACCCCAACCAAGCTGCGGCAGTTCGTGGAGTCTACGGTGTTTATGGTGTCTGGTGGAGTGCTTGGAGCCCTCGTGAGCACTAGGAGCATCGATTGACGGAGGCACCCGGTTGGGGCGCCAGGCGGTCCGTCACAACCATTATTTGTCGCTAATAACAATACAGTATTTCTTTGTTAATGCTGTTTTGCACCTGTTTCTGTGAGATTCCCTAGCTACAACATTGCCTAAAGTGCTGTCACTTATTCAAATGTCTCAAGGAAGGAGGATGACATCACCACAGAGATGTCGTTGGGGACACTTCTAAAAGTGTAATATAACATTTTGAGGTGGCTTTATAATGAATTTATTTTACTATTATTGTTAAAATGTAAATGTGGGAAAGCAAATCACCTGGCTCCTTTTTTGTTCTACAAATCCTATTTATAAAATAATGAGATCAGTATTGTGATGGAGCTCCAGTATTCCAACCGAGTACCTCCGCCCAATCAGCTTCCTAGCCGCTTGCAGGGACCCTGGAACGCTTAGGCCCCAGTCGCCGAAGCTTGACTGGGCTTTTATACCCAACCAGGCAGATATCGTCCTTTCTGACTATTCCGCTGCAGCTCTGCTACAGTGATTATAGTTTTTGCCTTTACAAAGGTAATTGCGGCTCTCAGGCTCTCTTAATTTATCCTAGGGCTAGAGGGATCATGCAACCAGCAAACAGGTCCAAATACTCTGTCATTAGGATCCCTGAAAATCCACACAGAACAAACCAAAAGGAACTGAAATAAAAAAAAACTTCTCAGGACTAGCCCATAGACTCATTACATGTAGACTGCTGTGACAACCTATATAAAATACAAATAACCAAATCATAGTAGACAACATACAGCAACTTATTATAACACACTGACATATTTAGAAAAGGGTGGGGAAGATATTGATTAACACACAATATCTCTCGTGCCTGCAGAATTGGCAATATGCAAATCTACCTGAATATGCAAATTAACAAGCCTTGCTATACAGGCTCCATAGCCAAATCCTCCAAGTTGGTATCAAGCATCAGAAGGACAGGAGAACACACAAACAATTAACAATAAATACATAAAACACATACATTATACACCCTGCACCTACAATGAGCACAGGGTGACAAACATAAGAGTCATTAGGGATCTAATTGAAGTATCCATCCTATGTTCCCAGTGATGGTGACTACCGTCATCCGTATAATAGACCAATATACACAGGAATGAAGTCGCCTTTACCAGTATGGTGAAATATCTTTGATTAACATAGCTGTACCTTCCCAAATTATGTTTCCAGCCTCTTTCTTAATGAACTTGAACCAGAAGCGGTCTTTGTAGGCTTCTTCCAGAAGCACTTCACCAATCCATAGTGATGGTTCTGTAGTGGATAGGGGGCACCGTGTAGGTTTCATTGGTACAGCAGCTTGTGGGTCCCAGGCTCCCATCTCTTTACGTGATCCAAGAACCATGAGCTCTGTGTCTGTATGGGTCAAGGTGATGACCACCCCAAAACGGAACAACATCTGCTGCGGCATGGATCACTGCAGCAACAACAATTAATATATGACAGTATTAGAGTTTTTCCCGGCACATAAAAATACTTATTTTCATTGTTAACACAGGCATCTCTGAAAAACATTACTATACAATTATAGTTATTTTCTGTTTGTCTGTTGGTATATAGATTTGTCTAGCTATATTGGAGTCCTGCAAATTTAAAATCTTGCACAAAATTAAAACTTAATTTAAACCATGAATTAAATCCGTAAACAGGCATAAAATTAAAAACTAACATATCTTCTTGTAAGTGAGCGACCTGAAGCTATAAGTCAGGAGCAAAAGTGTGTTTGTGTGTAATACACATACATACATACATACCAACCCCCATTAAAAATCAAGTTTACTTTCAAAATTTAGACTTTCAGCTGTTTGAAATGAACAAATGAAACAAAAGCAATTGAGATAACTCAATACAATGAATGCTTCAAATGGTTTCCCCAAATTCAATTGAAAATACAACTTATAATGACTTCTCCAGTCTCAAATGTATGCAACCCCTTCATGACAAGCATGTAGAACACTCTTTTGTTGTTCTGACCTGCTGCACATAGCTTCAGGCAGTGTTCAATGGATCCATCTTGACTTCCATATGCTGCAGGTTTCCAGTGCCTGAGGATGCAAAGCAGCTCTAAAGCAAGCATGTCAAACTCACGGTCCACAATGGACATCTTTGCAGCCCAGCGAGCTACAACTACATGCTTGGTGTTAAAGCACCTGCTTTCTCCACATTGCATGTGCCTACTCGGCTAAAATGTACCTGGCAGGAGAGGAAGCAGGACAATGGCGGCATCAAGGGAGCTCAGTCTTCCTGCTTCTCACTGCTCCCTTGCACGCACCATCTGTAGTGATGCAGGCATTACTAAACTGTGCGCGAGGGAGCAGTGAGGAGCAGGAAGGAGATGTCCAGGCAGAAGATCCCCAATGGACCCCAGGGAACAAAGTGAGTGTGTGCAACAATGTGTGTCTGTCTGTCTGTCAGTGAGTGAGTGAGTGTGTGTCTGTCAGTGAGTGTGTGGGTGTGTGTCAGTGAGTATGTGCTATAGAAAGTAACCTCGCTTGAGCAGGGTCCTCTTCAACTTATCGCTCCTGTAAGTTTTCTAGTAATTGTCCTATTTATAGTTAAATCTCCCCTCTCATAATATTGTAAAGCGCTACGGAATCTGTTGGCGCTATATAAATGGCGATAATAATAATGTGTGTGTGTGTGTCAGTGTTTGTGTCTGTCTGTCTGTCAGTGTGTGTGTGTCTGTCAGTGAGTGTATGTCTGTTAGTGTGTGTCTGTCAGTGTGTCTGTGTTGTGACGATGTAGTACCTTGAGGTGCACGGAGGCACGCAAAACCACGTCACAATGTGACGTGACTTCAATGTGCTCCACCTTCACAGGGTTTCAAAAAGTAGAGGGAGGAGCCGCAGCATTTGGGGTATACCAGAGGCCGGACTCCGGAGTCGCATACTGGCAGCAGCAATGTGAGTGGAGTCTGCTTGTTGGGGGTGCTGGGATTTATTAGAGGGGGTGAGGGGGACTGGGATTTAGTAGAGGGGGATGCTGGGTTTTTTTTATACTGTACTTTTCAAAATAAACCTACGTTTCTATGAAAATGAAAAAAGTTTTGGGTTTTTGTGCGGCCCACATAAACTTAAACCTTGTTTATTTGGCCCGTGCTAGACTTTGAGTTTGACATGCTTGCTCTAAAGCATCATGGGCATGGGGGGTAGGAATGTATTCTGCCTTTTTTCCTTTTGGTAAATTGTTTATAATAGTATATTATCTTTTAATATGATTTTATATTGCTTCACTTTTTGGGCCCCTGAAGAAGTCCCACTTAGGGCCCAAACACGTAGAACCACCCATTTTTATGTATTTGATTTTTATTTATACTTGTTTATATAAATAAATATCTACCTTTCTGAAGAAATTAGGAGTCTGGCTTTCCTTTGCATGTAGAGACTGCAGCCAGAAGTGGAAGAGACTTGGACAGGTCCCCAGGATTCTAAAGGCAGGCACCTTAAGGCGCTTTTACCATCTACAATCTAGTGAGTATATTTCTGTATGGGCCATATTAATGTGCTCTACTGTATTACACTTTTTTTTTGTAGATTCACAGTTGCATCCTCTATATATTGTGCTTGAGACAACACCTGTTTTGCATATTTAAACAGACTTCTCACTGTGCCCCCAACCGTTGTACCAGTGATTTATGTATTACCTAAAATACATAAATTACTGGTCAATCCACCAGGTAGATGGAATAGGATTTTTATTATCTCTGTTGGCGAAAGTTTTGGATTAGCTGATCAGACCGTTTATACCGAAAATCAAATCTTATGTAAAAGATACTACGGATGGGCTCCAGAAATTGGGGATATTAAGTGATGTTGAAGATATACTGCTAGATACGTTTGATGGTACCAGTCTGTATACCTCAATCTCCCAAGAAGGAGGTAAGAGTTTTGCATTTCAATCACTGGGCTTCGAAGGGGTTCCTCTTTTATTTTTATTACAACTTCTAAGATTGGTTATAATGGAAAACTACTTCCTGTTTGGTGAGGAATTTTTTATTCAGACCAGGGGGACTCTTCCATGGGTTCCAATGTGGCACCCACATACGCTGGCATCTATATCGCTCAATTAGAAGATATCATCTATAAGAACGAATTGTTTAAAAAATATGTGAGGAATTGGTGGCAATATATAGATGATGTGCTAGTGTTGTGGGATGGCCCATTGGAACCCTTGGAAGAATTTTTTAGCTTCTTTAATGAATGTTCTGGTACAATCAAATTCACCAAGACTAAAAGATTCATGGCTAATGGGTACCCTACGACCCTTTTACAAAACCAATTGGTCTCTGTTCAAGAACTGGATAGACAAAAGATGTTCTCTCCTAAGCAAAGACAAGATACAGAAAAAAGGCTAAAATTAATTTCGCGTTTTAGTACATCTTCATTTGAAATCAAAACAATTATAGATCCCCCCACATTCTTATTTAGGGCCCACACCCGCCGCTCAGGGGTGGGGGCCGGGGGGAGGACAGTAGGTCCCCCCCACATTCTTATTTAGGGCCCCACCCGCCGTGCTGGGGTGGGGGCCAAGGGGGAGGACAGTAGGTCCCCCCCACATTCTTATTCTTATTGTTATTTAGGGCCCCCACCTGCCGCGGGGTGGGGGCCGGGCGGATAGTAGGGTTTTTTTTTTAGTAGACATGCCCTGCTATGGTATAGCGAGTAGGGGCATTTGGGAGATTTTAATCTCCCTTATGCTATTATGGGGGTCATATTGACCCCCATGGAGTGAGGGAGGACACGGGGGGCTTAGGAAATGGCAGGGAGCACTGCTCCCTGCCACTTCTATCTTAACATATTACAAGGAGGGAGCTGTGCGCTGGTAGCTCCCTCCTTGTAATAAACTGAACGAACAAACAAACACTGATATTCAGTGTTTGTTTGTTCGTCTGAAATTTCTAGTCATTCGTCTTTCTGACGAATAAATGAAATTCCCGTTCGCATGCCCAAGTGTTTAACTGGGCATGTGCGGGAATCTCACAGCGCTATCTAGTGTGGGCAGATGAGGTGTCCCACAGGGACTTCCTCTACCCACACAGATTGTTGCGCCCTGAATATAGATCAGGGCAGAAAATAAAGTTTAAAAATAGGTAATATGGGGGGCTTAGAGGCATTTGGGGGTGACTAGGAGGTCAGTTAGATGTAGTGGAGTCTTGAGGGGGGGTAAAAAAAAAAAAAAAACAGGATTCGGCCATGACAGTGCCGCTTTAATACATGTTCTTTTCTTCCATTTATTACAGAGTATTCACAAGTTGGTGTGCTGTTGTTGGTGATGGATACACCATTCTCATTTCTGGTTACTCGGCAAGCACTTTTTGGACTCAATGGTCGTAGTGTAATACATATTGTAAGAGAGACCATTCTCTAATTTTTTGGTCCGATATTGTTAATATTTTTTCCCTTTTACTACTTTTATAATTTCTTTGATAAGTGAGGTTGCATCCCCCCCTTTTTACACATATGGGGTGTTTTCCAATTTCAATTTATTTACATTGATTATTTTTATTACTAATCAGCTGGTTTACCAGCAATTCTTAGGATTACATTAATTATTTTTGGCTAGCTATTGGAGGTCAGTACTCATTCATACCAGCCTACATCTATATTGAGTAAGTCTTGCATGTGTTTAACAATATTTGGATAATAATTTAACAATGTGTTGAGTACGCAATGCTTCACTTTAATCATGTCACATATGTTATGCATGTTTTTAATCACTTGTACTACTATAAAAAGCAATTCTTTGGTTGTGTTTATTAACTTAAGAAAGACCTATTAGGTCGAATAGTTGTTCTGTGTTACTGGTTTCCAATAAAAATTGCCACTAAAAGAACCTTGGAAGTGCCTGGACCTTTTTCGTTTTTTCCTATATTATTGGGATCTGGGTGCTGGGTCCTGGTGTCAGGATACTAGTTGATCCAGACACAAAACTGTACCAGACCTAGGACTAGAGGTAACATCTTAATAGACCTTAGAATGGCCGGACTTAACGTACCAGAGAATAGTCAGAATACTTGACGAGGTCAGGGACACAGAATGAGACACAACAATGAGGGAAAGCCAAAAGTCAAGGATACCAGAATACAGGGAAGTCAAATGAAGCCAAAGTCAAAAAACAGAAATAAACGCTCAGGAACACACTCTTGGATAAGCTACTAAAGGAAACCATGACAGGGCAATGAGGAAAAGGAAAAAGGAGTTTTAAAAAGCCTCTTTCAGATCTGATTGGCTGTACCTGGCCTTTGACCCCAGAACGTGCATGCGCGTCCTTTGCGTGACATCACAGGTACGCCGACGTCGTCAATACCATGGTCGGACGTGGGGTTATAAATGAGAATGGATCCGCAGCGGCCAGCATCCTTCAACATGCCGCAGGAGTCAGATACACCGGCACAGGGCTGCTGAGTAGCAACTCTGTTAATGCCAGAAAGACATTTGTCATTAAAGTACACCACAAGGTGAGGATGAACATGTGACACCTGGTCCAGCTGCACCCTGGCTCTCAAGAAAATTGTTTGGCTGCATGCAGTGTCTTTCTCAAGTAAGAATAAAGTATTAATTTAAGCAGACACTCTAGGCCAGTGTTTCCCAACCCAGTCCTCAAGGCACACCTACCAGTCCAGGATTTAGGGATTACCCAGTTGTGTCTAAGGTGTTTTTACAAAGAAGAAAAAAAACACCTTAGACACAACTGGGTAATCCCTAAATCCTGGACTGGTAGGTGTGCCTTGAGGACTGGGTTGGGAAACACTGCTCTAGGCTCCATAATTACTATATTACGCAGTGTTAGGCAGCCATCAAGTCTGAGCTGGTTTGTCAGTGGCCGAGCCGAGTGTCAGCTGATGGCTCTTAGCCAATCAACTCTGCTTAAACCTAATATGAGTTTATATGATAATGCCCAACAAAAAGGACAGCAGGTGCCCTAAAGTAGGTGTCAAGAAACAATGGCTACCTATATTTTATTTAATATTGCCGTTGAGACCAACTAGAACCTCGTTAAAAGATGCTACGGTCTCCTCATCCTGCAAATTCAATAAATCGCACTCACAATGTAATATACCGCAGTTTTCAGAATATAGGACGCAATGTGGAGGTAACTCTGTACCATGTAGTGAAAGTGTTTTGATTTTTCTGCAACTGCATATATGATGTGTGAGAAATCCTTACCAACACTGTGGTATGTGTATGAAAAACACAGAAAGAAACAGTGCAAAGAAAATACTGATAAATTGCTGCTGAATAGTGCCTATTTTCCAAAGTGATTTTATTCTTTTGTAATAGCAGGCTGCAAAAGTATCACAAATGAGATAAAGGAGCAGGAAAGCAATTCATGAAAATTTAAAATGAAAAACAAAACACACTGTGAAAAAATAATGAACCATCACTGGTGCTACAATCAGCTTAGTGGGCCACAATAACCACTAAAATAAACACAAGTGATAAAATAGAAAAGAATGGTGAGAGCACTCAATACAGAATAATTGAGTTCCTACTGATTTATAAATTTACAAATCAGTGGGTAATATTATTATTCTGTATTGAGTGCTCTCGCCATTCTTTTCTATTTTATCACTTATGAAAATTTGAAGGTTACTCCATGCACCATGACCACTCAACAATCATTCGAAGTGGTCATGTCTGGTTGTGAAGCGTTTCAGTTGAAACACTGCACATAGAGAGCTAAAGCCAGGGCCGGATTAAGAGCCCATTGGGCCTGGTGCTGACAATTATGATGTGCCTAATTATAGAATCTTATCGACAGAAAACACAGTCATACCCAGTGGCGTACATACCGGGGTCGCAGCTGCGACTGGCCCCGGCCCACTAGGGGGCCCAGCCTCCCTGCGACCCAGTATGTACCCACTGTGGCCAGCCTCTTCTCCTGGGGGGCCCAAGAGCCGGCCACCTCAGGGCCCCCCGAGGCTGGCCCTGGTGTCACCTGGCGGACAAGATTGGCGGGCGCGCGAGTTAGCACTCTCCCCTGAGTGCTTCAGCTCCCTCGCACACCGCACTGATACCGGAGCCGGAATATAAAGCCATCTTCAAGCTCCGGCATCAGTACGCGGCGCACGAGGGAGCTGAAGAGGAAGCACTCAGGGGAGAGTGCTCCCTAGCGCCCGCCCGGTGTTAATCCAAGAGTATTGAATTATTCGGGATTGTTAAAGTAATTAATTTTGAGTATCAAATCAAGGTTCAAGTTTAGGAACAGAGTTTTATTGTGAATTATCCCCATATGTATATGTTAGTGTTTTAATATTCATCCTAACAAGCATTTCTATAGAGTGCATGCTTCTCTCATCCGTACAAAGGCATTCCAAAGGGATATTATGTAAAACTTCATAGAAGACAGATTGCATAAAATATAAGCAAATGTAAGAGAAATACATGTTACACAAATTACTTTGTGTAACACAAATTAAGGGTTTAACCTTAATCTCTAATTTAAATTTTAGCCTAGGTAATTAATTAATTGATGCTGTATTGATCCTTGTGTTTGTATGATTGTAGAGACCGTCCTGGAGTGTTTGCCGCCTGATTTCTGGGACTACACACCAATCTCTCTGGCTAACCATGCAATAAGTATTTTGCAATTACATCTGTTTGGTCATTATCCATGCAGGCCGAGGAAACTGAGATACTTATTTATGAGGACATAAACTTTGCACGCAAGAAACTGGAAAGTCCTGAAGGTGCACTGCTGTCTAATACCGCTGGTTCTGTAATAACCCTTTCAACCATTGAGGTGTTGCACAGAGCATTGTGGTGAAAATCCAGCAAACAAAAGAACTATGTGGAAGCTGACATTGTCTTGTTGTCAGCCATATTGCTACCCTTAGCCATTTTATGGAACAAAATGTCTGGTGTCTAAACTGATTTCTTTATACTCTGTGAAAGACTTATTCTATTTTTCTGAACTATGCTGAACTGTTGAACTATTTTTATTTTTGTAGAGTTAGCCGGAGAGAGAGGAAGTGTTAGCTGACCCAGGGATGGATGTACTATGTGTGTTTTTGATATATCTTGAGTGTGCCATAGATGGATTCCCATGTTTTGAGGAACTGCGTGAGGATATGACTGGTTTTGATTGGACCTTTGGAATAGCGAAAAGGGTAAAAGATATAGGACGCAAGGTCCTGGTTGTGATTATTGTCAGAATTTCAGATAGATTATAATTTATCTCATAAATTAAAATGTAAGAAGTGTTTCTCAATTCCTCCCAATACCCGAGCTATGTACGCACAGGTGCGGGTATTATAAGTCATAAGTGGTGTCAACTGTGAGGGGATTGCATGTCTAACACGATCGCGGCCCCCACTCAGGTTTTCCCTAGATGTGCTTTTTCCTCAAATATGAGTTTTTGCCACTGGGTTTTTTGCCTGGCCCCAGATCATCGGGTGGACTGGTAATCCTAGACCCAGGTCCTTGGACGGGGTATAGGTATTATTCCCACTTTGACTATATGCGCCCACTTCCGTGGATGAAGGAGGAAAACAACTGTTGGGAATAATATACTTTGCCCATATTTACCTAGGGTTTATGATACAGATTGTATCTGGTAGCTGGTTAGTCTGTTTAAAATTGGTTAACATGTCAGCTATTTGCAAAAATTATTGTTATGGTTATGGTCCTTGCTCTACTTGTTTATGCTATTTTTAAGACTATTGTATTCTGCATTTACAAACATACATGCAACACTGTTCCTGCAAAATCCCCAGCTTGATATGATGAATATAAGTTTATGGTACTGGTCGAATGCCTAGTCTTATGCAATGGGAATAGTGGCCGAAGACATAATGAAAGACCTGCAGGATTGGCTAGCAATCCTGAATATACCATGGCAGATGGCTAGTTGTCTGACCAGGACTCCTTAAATAGGGTATGAGCAAAATATTGCTCAAAGAGGGGAAAGTGAAGGAATTGAAACAGTTAATCTGTTAGTATTGTATAAGGTGAATTATTTAGTAAATGTAGTAGCAAGCTCTTTTCAGAACTGCTTGCAAAACATAACTGAAATGACGTCACAGGCTATGACAGTTTCTATTTATCCGGAGATGCCTAACCACAAAGTACATGTGATATTTTGTAAGATTAGATTATTGAATGAAACAGCAGAAACTACTTCCTCTTTTATGTATCTTGTGTAACTTTCTGTAACCAATGTTCGTGACAAATATTGTATAAGTACAGAACATTTTGAATACATTGTCAGAAGACTTTTGGAAAGCAATCTTGTGTCTGTCTCGTTATTCTGCTTCCATAATTCTTCCCTGAGCTCAGGTGACAATCGAGGGTTGGAGAACCGTGACCAGAAGGGATCGAGTCATCAGTTTAGCCTTTCACCGCCCCAATCCGCCTTTCAGCTCCGAATGCGCATGCGCGGCAAGAGCCGCGCGCGCATTCAAACCTATGGACGTTCAGCGTCTTCTCACTGTGATTTTCACAGTGAGAATCGTGGAAGCTCCTCTAGCGGCTGTCAATGACACAGCCACTAGAGGCTGGATTAACCCTCAGTGAAACATAGCAGTTTCTCTGAAACTGCTATGTTTTCTGCTACAGGGTTAAAACTAGAGGGACCTGGCACCCAGACCACCTCATTGAGCTGATGTTATCGGGGTGTCGTAGTGGTCCTTTAAGTGTGTGTGCATCTGCATGCACTGGCGTAAATACCGAGGTCGCAGGGGTTGCAGCCCTACAACCAGGTGCCCGCCGCCATGTGTTGCGGCCCCGCCCGAGAGGGGGGGCCACGGATCAGTTTTCGCTCCGGGGCCCCATGGTTTGTGTGTACGCCACTGGTCATACCTCCCAAGTGTCTTGTATCTGGTGGAGGTGGTGCTGGAAGGAAACTCACAGGATATAGCTATTAGAAAACATAATCTAGCTAATCTCTCGCTTTCATATTTCATGTAAATCCATACCCCCTAACAGCAGTGTCCAATGAAGCAGGATTTTGGATGGGAGGGCTAAAAGGGTGGGCCACTGATGTGAATCAAGTAACCAGAAAAACATTTAGAGGTACAAACATGCCCAAAAAGTGGGAGGGGAGGTGTCTGCACAAAGACTTAGACGGTAAGCATGGCGTGAATGCACCTCAGGCTGCCTGCCAATTGTGCAGGATGACTAACCAAGGGCATTATGTGCAGACAGCACCCTGAGCTTGGCATAAATGTGCCTATTGATGAGTTAGCTCTTTCCAGGGACTGTACCCTAGCACTCGCTGGTTCGCTCCTCTCCTAAGCTTCGTACTAGCAGACATAAGCTTGTTACACAGTCTGGGATAGAGAAAAAGTGTATGTAGTGAGTGTAGAAAAAAGAGAACATGCCACAGTGTTAGAGAGACTGAAGCTGCAAGAGCATTTGCATAGTGCGCAAAGTCAGCTTTACGTTAACAAATTTCATTGTCAGCCAGTTCATACAAGTTCTGTTCCCCTACATCCCTCTTAAGTTTCCATACTTAAGCAAGAGCATGTGAAGAGTAGTAAAATAAATAATTATGTTAATCCGGCCCTGGCTATAGCCCAGTGCTGCCAGAGGCGTACCTCCACCTCTGGCAGCGACATGACATCTAATGGTGTTTTGGATCAAAGAAAACTTTGATAATTTGTCTATCTACACCTTCCAAATTGATTGATTAATGCGTGCACGCTTTCCCTAGAAGTAATTCACACCGGAGACAAAGTTTCTGATCAGTGAAAAACCCAGGAATGCTTTATTCCCCGGAGTGGGGGCTCCTTCTTAAAGCAAAAATACGTCACAGTTTAAACATACAGTATACATTCACCAATTGGTTAACAGTCTAAGGGGCTCTTGTCTAAACCCCCCCCTACAGGATGTAGTGTCATCATTACAGACTTCTCCCGCCTATATTCCAGCTCCTGGATACACGATGACAGGGGGAGTGAGTAGTTTCTTTCAGTTACTTTAACAGTGATTCTCCATTTTGTTACACGTGGCATATAGCTGTTAACTGGCACAAAGGAAGTGGGGGAGGAGTTAGTAAAGGAAGCTGTTAACACAGGAATTTTGGTTACACAAGGTTTGCTTGATGGGAAGGGGGATGCTTAGCAGGATGAAGAATTTACATAGGAAACAGCAACTGAACACATTGTAGGGGGGGAAGGGAAAATTTACTCTAGCAGCCAGTTTTAACATAGTGAACACAGAATAAATAGACATTAGTAAATAGCCATTTTATTTTAATTCATCTGTCCATAACAATGGCTTATATTTAATCTGTGTATATTTGTTGTCCATCGTCAGCACACATAGCATGCTTTTGACAGAGAAGAAATGTGCCACCCAAGTTCTCCCTCAATCAAAAAGCCCCGAGGTCCCATCCCAGCATTAAGGGGGGAGTAATGTTAGTGGAGGAGCAGCAAAAAGAACTTGGCCTTGGATCGCAGGTAAGTTCTTTTTTTTTTTTTTTATCTTTCTTGGTTTTTTTTGAGGGGTTGATACCATATCCTTATAGGTTTTTAGTTGGATTACCTCTTTGATATACAGAAATAAATGTTCATAAATGCTTCGTATCATGTCTGTAATTAAGCCAAAATACAGGGTATAAGGAGCATTTTTTTTAATTATTATTTAAAGAAACACTCCAAACACCCTAACCACTACAGCCATTGTAGTAGCTATGGTGGCAGGAGTGCCTCATGTTATTCCACAGTAAGATGACAAACTTAGCAAAATGTTTGATAACCTACCTAGGTAAACAGCAGCATCCTCTGCACCCAGTCTGCTCCTGCAGAAGAAGCCAAATACTGGGGTAGAATAAAGCACAAAAGTTGCAAATGTTGCACCAAGAGTGCACTTCTTGGCTACGTAGATCAATCAGGATTCTCATGTTGGAGAAGACCGAATGCAGGGGAAGCAGCTGGCACTGTGTCCCATGTAAATTGTCGAACCATGCTAAAACGATTTGACATCTTACCATGGGACAGGGACAGTCTACGCATGGCACCACAAGTTCTGTAGTGTTCTGTAGCGTTTAGGGTCCTTGGAATGTTGGTTTAAAGGGTTAGTGCAAGACCAAATATTTTATGTTACGCAATGGTTGATAGGGTTTGCAAGATATCCAAATCAAGCTTGAGATGTGGCTCTGAAACAGAAAATAAATTATAAATCAAGAAATTAATCTAATAATAAATTGTAAAATCAGTCTAAATGATTCCTTTAAAAGGAATTTGTCAATTTTCACGAATATATTTCAACAAAGATCTACTAGAATTTACAATATACAAATTCTGGACTAATTGGAGTGTGTCCCCAGTACCCTCTGCCAAAAAAATGTAATGTGGATTTTTCCGATATCATTGACACATTCTGATCATAGCATTTATGTCAAATGTGTAAAGAGAAACTCCCAGCCAATATTAGAACACCCTGCAGCAGTCAGAGATCTAATACATGTATCCATGGAGTGACTGACCTGCGGCTCGGAACAGGCGATGCACAGGGTTAATGGGAGTAGCAGTCCCTGTAGCTCAGCGCTGGAGGTCGCAGCGATGGCTAACACACTGACATTCACACAACATGCCTCACAGGCAATACCGTACTATTTGCGAACTACACCTTGACAAGCCAATCACAGCCCGCGTTTCATATTGCACTGTCAGAGAGAGCTGTTATGTGGCTGTTGATTGGCCGCGGTGGTAATAAACTCGGCTACGAACCATCTGATAACCCCGCCCACCGCTTGAGCATCTTATTTATAAACGAAGCAGGGTGGAGCGTGTAGTGACGTCACTGCAGCACGTGACTCCGAACCTGCCATGCTTTTGGTGTCCTCTTGCTGTGTGTAGTGATGATGGTGCGGAGGGAGCTGGGGGGAGTGCAGGGTGTTGGTTACTGGCAGCTCAGGATCCTGCATTATACACAGCAGGGCTGGAACAGTTCAGTCCATTGGTGAGGATGCTCACTGTAAATCTAGTTTGTTTTTGCAATAAATTACCCATGTGTGAACTAAAGTCTTGAGATATGGGAGTACATTAATTAGAGAGCTGCACACAGTGTGCTGTATGCTGGGATCACAAATAATACTTCTTCCAATGGCACTGTGTCTTGTGGGGGCTTTACCTTTTGTGCAGTGATTTCCCAAGGTGACACTGTTTGGTGGTGGCCATGGGGAGTGCTGTCCCTGGTGGAGTCATCATGTCACATAGCCCACCAAGCTCTATCTCTGTGAGGGAGTAATAACAGAAACCCATTTCCTGATACTCTATTAACAGTTAAAGGACCACTCTAGGCACCCAGACCACTTCAGCTTAATGAAGTGGCCTGGGTGCCAGGTCCTTCTAGGGTTAACCCATTTTTTTATAAACATAGCAGTTTCAGAGAAACTGCTATGTTTATGAATGGGTTAAGCCTTCCCCCTAATCCTCTAGTGGCTGTCTCATTGACAGCCACTAGAGGCGCTTGCGTGCACGCCAGCGTCCATAGGAAAGCATTGTAAATGCTTTCCTATGCGACGGGCTGAATGCGCGCGCAGCTCTTGCCGCGCGTGCGCATTCAGCCCAGGAGGAGGAGAGCTCCCCGCCCAGCGCTGGAAAAAAGGTAAGTTTTTTTAACCCTTTCCCCCTTCCAGAGCCGGACGGGAGGGGGTCCCTGAGGGTGGGGGCACCCTCAGGGCACTATAGTGCCAGGAAAACGAGTATGTTTTCCTGGCACTATAGTGGTCATTTAACCACTCCCTCTAGCATGTAAGCTCATTGAGCAGGGCCCGCCACCTCTCTGTTCCTGTGCATCCAGTTGTCTGGTTACAATTACATGTCTGTTCGTCCACCCATTGTACAGCGCTATGGAATCTGATGGCGATATATAAATAATATAATAATAACAGGGCTCAGTCATCATTCATTGTTGGCAATATAGCAGTACTTTCTCACCCGTCGCTCATCCCATACCTCACCCATCAGTCGATCCCTACAATGGCTTCCTGTACCCTATAGGTGTCAATTTAAAATAATAACCCTTATCTATAAAGCGCGAACCAACTCTAGCTTCTGTTACATTTCTATACTGATTCATAGATATGCCCCTTCTCGGTCTCTCCGCTCTTCCGGTGACCTTCTGTCTGCTGCTTGCACCCTTACTGCTAACTCACACTTGCAGGACTTCTCGCTTGCGGCTGCCTTCCTTTGGAATAGTCTGCCTACCTCCATCAGACTCTCCACTAGTCTTCAATTGTAAAGTCCCTCAAAACACATCCGTTCAGAAATGCTTATGAACTCCCAGAGTAACTTATCTATACCTATCCATATCTGTCTCTTGCTCTCCTAAAGAGCCATACTCCTCTCTTTTCCACTTTGTTTGGTGGCTGTCACCTTTGCTGCCCTGTAGTGTATTTGTACCCCACCTCCTCTAGACTGTAAGCTCGTTTGAGCAGGGCCCTCATCTACATATTGTTCCTGTGTCACTGTGTAATTGTCTCATGTATTGTAAATTCCCCCCCAATAATAATATTGTAAAGCGCTGTGGAATTAGTTGGCGCTATATAAATACCAATAATAATACTTAAAATGACTAGTACCATGCTACTAGCCAGGTCTTAAAAGTTACCTACCACTGCAAGCCATAATGTACGCTTAAGGCTGTGGCGACTATAGACTTTGCGAGGCCTTAGGAAGAATTCTAACATAAGGCCCCCATTAACACCCATAGTGAAAAAATAAATATGGGTTGCAGTGTGTGTGTCCCTTATACTCTGTATAAGTATTTGTTTTATTTTGTTTAGTGTTGTTGTGAGGTTCACCATATTAGCTCCTTTTTCACTTATACAACTCTATCAGTGACTCAGTTTTCTGTTTTTACACGTGTGTGTATAAGGAGCTGTAGTTATATTGAAGGGCAGACTTGCAGCGCTGGATACAGAGAGCTGGTGTCTGTATTCATTGTTCAGAGGCTTGCATTGTCGCTGCATTGTGAGCTCTCTGTAGTTATGGCATCATTTGTAAACAAAATTAGTTTGCAATAAAAAATAATTACTTTTCAACATGATTGTTGGTATGGTTGCATAGCCTGGCAGTCGTGTATACATATGTGCTGGTGTGAAGGAGTAATTGGAACAGTGGCGTACTGAGAGGGGGGTGGGCGGGGGCAGTCTGCCCAGGGTGCCACTCACTAGGGGGGTACCCTGGGCAAACTGTGTCTGACCCAACACCAGAAGGGGGCCTGGCGGCTTGCTTAATATTCCGCAGCGTGCGATGCCCCTCCTGCGCCCATCGCAGACACCGGTCTGCAGCTCCGCAGTGAGCAGAGCTGCAGACCATGTGTCTCGCGAGATCTGAGCAATCAGAGCGTTGCCGCGGGTTACCACGGCAACGCTCTGACTGGGTCTCGCCAGGTTCATGGTCTGACCGGAATTTATGGCCACTGGACCACCAGGGAATTAAGGTATAGTCGTCCCCCCCCAATCCCCATCTCCCCCTCCCTCACACCATCACCCTCTCATCATCATCAAAGTCACTGAGATATTTTCTCTTGCCCATTTTCCCTGCTTCCAACACTTGAAATTCAAGAAAAAACAAGGGGGAAGAGTCTGCGCTAAGTAACAGAGGTGTAAGCAGATAAAAAAAGAGGAGGTAAGGGCTGCGCTAAAATACAGAGATTGGTACCGTAGAAATCAAACCAAATGGCCTGAATGGATAGACAGTAATAAGTAAGCCTGGGTAATATAGTCTCTATTGAAACAACAGAAAAAAGTAAATAAAACAAAGTCCATCCAAGTAGTAAAATGTTCAATAATAATCAATAAAACGTCTCACTTATATTTGGATAGGTTATGTGTACAATCCTCAGGAGTGGATCCGTCCGGGTTGTAGATAATCCGTATATGTGAAGATAAAAAAACACGACAAACTGCCAATGGTGAAATATTGTAGATCCAAAGGTAAAATAGATAAAAAGGAGGATAATACACTCACATTTGGCGGAGCTTAGGCCAGCTCTAGGATGAAAGGCGCTTAGCGGTATGATCCCCGCTAAAGGATATACTGGAGAAGTGAGTCCATCCGTCCGGCTTTGGTTCTGTCGTACTCCACAATATATGTATGAAAAACAGCAATAGTGCTCTCAGTTGGAAAATAAATAAAATAGATAAAATAAAATAAAATATACTCACAAGTGTAGAGCAGGAAATACTGCTCTATTGACACAGCTCTGGTGGAATTATCGCCACCTATGGATTTCTTGAATCAGGATACAATTAAAATGCCAGGAAAAATGTTAATAAAAGTGTATATAAAATACAATAAAATAAGTAGAAGATTGGTCCTATAAAAAGGTAACCAAAAATAACTTTTATTGTTTTAAAATACACAATTTAAAACCATTAACGTGTTTCACCTTTAAGGCTTTATCAAAATGGTAATAGAACAATATACCTGGCATGAAACAGTATTTATAAGAATACACAGTGGTTAAAATTGGAGCCAAAAAGCGGTTCCACCAATTACAGACAAGTATTAAAACATAATTAAAACAAGTTGAATCTTTGCAGTTATATAGGCAAGACTGTTGTATACCATATAATATATTTATATATAAAAACGAGGCTTGAATATTGAAATATTTATAAAATTTAAGTATCACGTGATTGGGGATAGTTAGGGCAAAGCTACATGGGAAATGTAGTACGGGGCACTTAACGGCAAGCGGCGGATTGCTCGCTCGTAAGGGTAGTAGACCACTCCCAGCAACACGTGGCATGTTGGAGCTAAACTCCTTGGGAAATGTAGTCATGCCGGTCACCGTGCATGTGGGAGGAGCGGCGAGAGTCTGGCTTAAAACTGACAATAGTCAGTCGCTCTCACTCCTTGGAGGCTCAAATACAGGTAGTAGAGGGGACCAAAAGATATATATCAAACGGCAGTAACTAAATACATGCCGGTTAAATAAATTAAAAATAGATAAAAGGAGATGAAAAATAGAAGTAAATGATCTAAATTGTGCCCCAATATTAGTATATATGAATAAAAAACATTATGTAATAGAATGAAAATGCAACTGAGAAAGGGATGAAAATAAAATATATATCTTAAGAACATATGGTGTGTCACTTAAAAGATTAAAATATAAAACATATATTTAAGAGAGAAGGAAAAATAAAGAGTACCTTAACAGAATTGTAACAAATAATGTACGTAGTCATAGAAAATTACACAGATCAAAGCCTGAATTTAGACCTTGAGGTGCAAGGGTCTGTAACCTATAGACCCATTCCATTTCTGTTTTTACTAGGATATTTTTCATATCACCTCCCCTCCAGGGTAAGGTGCATTTTTTTATCCCCATACATTTTAACATTTTAGGCTCTTTGTTGTAATTTAAAAAATGTTTGGATACAGAGTGGTTTAAGTATCCATTTAAAACAACTTACAAAGTTAAGGAATTTATAAGTTGTAATACTAAAAATGTGATCTATCTGCTTGAATGCCCATATGGCCTCCAGTATGTTGGAATGACCACAAAGTGCTTGAAAATTAGACTAAGTGAACACTGCAGAAATATCAAAAATGGATACTTAAACCACTATGTATCCAAACATTTTTTTTTGGGGGCATTTTTTTTTTTTTTTTCAATTTGACAATTTTTATTTTCACAGAATTCGGGGTACAGAAAGAAGAGGGGAAGTGAGGGGTTAACCACATTGTACAGCATTGTCAGTAACATCATACATATATTGTAGTATCAATATTGCTCCTGTGTGGTAGGATGGCTGGGGGGGGCCGGGGGGGGGAGGGTGAGAGGGTTTGCCACCCGCATTTACCCTGTTCAGAGGGTCCTGTATATCTTGTTGGGCAATAGCGTCCTGAGTGTTCCCTGACTCGTTTCCTGTTGGTTTTTAGTTACTGTTCTCCCGGAGTGTGCCTATGTTTGGCTGGTCTACCTCCCGCTACTGGTGAATTGTGTCAGACACCTCCCCACTGCTCCTCCTATTCCTTGGGTTATGTCGTGGTATTATTTGCTATGTCTCTTGCTCGTCAGAGTTGGATATTGGGGGCCAACTCTTTTCTTGGGCCATGGTGTGGCTCTAAACTGTTTTGGTGCCCCATTAAGTATATCCGTGGTTGTTGTGGTTACAGGTGAGTTATTTGGGGTGTGGTGAGGTATGAACATCTTTGTTCGCCTTCCAGTATTCTTTCCAGACCAAGTTGGCTTTTGCCATTGTTTTATTTAGGCCTCTTTGTTGTACCAGCATTGATTCGTACTGCCAGTTGGTGTTGATTTGGGTAAGGAGGGTACTGAAGTTCGGTGTAGTAGGTGATTTCCATGATCTAGCTATCACTAATGCAGCTGATATTAAAATGTGGTATGTGACTGCCCATTGAACCCTAGTTAATTCTTCTGGCGGTATGTATAGGAGACACATCTCTATCGTGGGCTCTACGTTAGTGTTCGTTATTTGTTGAATGAGATGTCCCACCTTGCGCCAGAATGGTTGTATGTTATCACAGGACCACCATGTGTGTAACATCGTTCCCACCTGTTGCTTGCACCTCCAGCATTGATTCGTGGAGGATTGTGGCCATATTTTATGAATCCTCTCTGGTACCAGGTACCAGCGATATAAAATTTTCCTTTGGAGTTCTAAGTGGTTAGTGCATGACGTGATGCCTTTGTGTGATGAGTATGCTTTTGTCCAGTGTTCCTCACTGATTGTGCGGTTCAGTTCTTTGTGCCAGGCATGTTTGTACGTGGTTTTAATGTTAGTCTGGGAATGGATCAAGGCTTTATAGCACAGTGATAACACTTTTTTGGGGGGTAATGTGTTTGTGCAAATTTTTTCAAAGGTAGATAATTTCTGGAGAAGTTCGTCGTGTAGTGTTTGGGGTCGGGTGTGTTGTAGGCATGACTTAAGTTGCAGGTACGGAAACAGCATCTTGCTGGGGAGGTTATACATGGTTTGTAGTTCCGGGAATTGCATGAATTTCCCCCCATCATATAGCTGTTCAATGAGTTTAATGTCATGCTCTAACCAACTTTTTGGATTTAGTGTTGGTATGATCCTGGACAGCACCTCCATTGGAGTCGCTAGGGGTATGGGTTGGTAGGCCGTCACTTTTTTCTGTACGGAGTCCCATATTTCTAGTAATAATTGGGATGTGGGGAGTAGATGCTGTGTCGTGTGTCTGCAGTGTTTCGGGGTCCATAAGTATGAATAGATTGTGGTATGGTGGGCCCAATAGGATTCTACTTCCAGCCATTGTGGTTGGTCTGGTCGTGGTATAAGCTGTGATATTGTATGGAGGATTGCTGCAGTGTAATAAGATTGTATGTCGGGGAACCCAAGACCGCCTTTATTCACCTCTCTTTGTATAATCTTGGTGGCTATTCTAATCTTTTTGTTTTGCCACACGAATCTGAGGAGTAAGTTTTGGGTCGTGAGAAAGAAGCTCTTGGGCAGTGGAATTTGTAAAGTTCTATAGAGATATTGGAGTTTAGGTAGGAGCGTCATTTTTACTGCCGTTATACGGCCTACCCAGGATATGTATTTTCCTTCCCAGGTTTTTAGGGTGTCTTTAAAGTTCGATAAAATGCTCAAGTAATTGAGCTTGAAAAGGTGTACCGGGTTTTTCGTGATTTTGAGGCCTAGGAATGTTAGGAAGTCTGTACGCCAGTCTAATGGGAATTTCTCCTTTAGTGTTTCCATTTGTTGTTTGTGGATATTTATCCCCATAGCCTGTGTTTTAGTTAAGTTGAGTTTGTAATAGGAGAATTTCCCGTATTGTTCTATGTGTTTCATAAGGTTGGGCAGTGAAATAAATGGTTCTGTCAGTGTCAAAAATATGTCATCAGCAAATATACTTAGTTTATATTCCTTGGTTCCCAGCGTGACTCCTTTTATGGAGATTTCATCTCTAATTTTGGCTGCTAGTGGTTCTAATGCTAAGACATATAGCATAGGCGACATTGGGCAGCCTTGTCTCGTCCCGTTTGTGATCTTAAAGGGTTCTGAGCAGAACCCGGCTGTCACGACTTTGGCTGTGGGCTTGTTGTATAGGGCTCTAATCACGTTGATGAATTGTTGTGGGAATGAGAATTTGTGTAGCACTGCCTGCAGAAAAGACCAACTAAGGCGATCGAAGGCCTTCTCCGCGTCCAAGGACACCAGAAGGCCCCCGATTCCCCCCCTCCTCATGCTGTGCAACAGGTCCAGTACTTTGCGTGTGTTGTCTGATCCCTGCCTTCCAGCTACGAAGCCCACCTGGTCTGTGTGGATCAGGTGAGGTAGTATGCGGCTCAGTCTTTGTGCATGGACCTTGGCATATAATTTAGCGTCGGTGTTGAGGAGTGATATCGGACGGAAGTTGGGGCAGTGAGTTGGTGGTTTGCCTGGTTTGGGGAGAGTAATAACATGTGCCGTGAGTAATTCCTTGGGAAGTGTGCTAGTTTGGGTGGCATAGTTAAATAGTTGCGCAAGGTAAGGTGATAAAATGTGTTGGAATTTCTGGTAGTACAGGTTAGTGAAGCCGTCGGGGCCCGGTGCTTTATTTTTCGGCAGTGCTTTTATCACAGCTCCTACCTCATGTGTCGTCACGGGGGCTGTTAATTCTGCCATCTGGGAGGGTGATAGTGTCGGTAGTTGTGTGTTTGCTAGATATGCATGTATATCTTCATCCCTTTGTTTTAATTGGTCCGAGGTCTCTAAATTATATAATTTTTCGTAGTAGGAGGCGAATGCGTTGCTTATCTCCACCGGGGAGATGAGTTTTTTGTTATTCTGGTCTATGATGTATTGTATTCTGCTGTTAGTTGTTCTGCTTTTGAGTCTAGCTGCTAGTAATTTGCTCGCTTTGTTGCCTTGTGTATATTGTTGTTGTTTAAGTCTATGTAAGTTGTAGCTCACTCTTTGTAGTGTGTGTTCTTTAATTTTGTCCTGTAAGTACTTGATTTGGGTGTGCAGTGATACTGTCGGGGATGTTTTGTGTTTGGCGGTGAGATCCGACAGTTGAGTGTTCCATGTTATCCATTGTGCCTGGGTGGCACGCTTGGTCCTTGCTGCTGTTTGAATCAGCAAGCCTCTAATGACTGGTTTGTGCGCCTGCCATATCATGTCTATGTTAGTGTGCTCTGTATTGTTCACGTTAAAATATTGTGTGATTTCTTCCTCTAGGTGTTGAATGATCGTCGGGTTGTGTAGTAGTCTCCATGGGCTTTTGTGCTTGAAGTCGTATTGGTCTTTGATCGTTAGTGTTGTTGCTGCATGGTCTGACCAGCTGATCGTGTGGATATTGCAGTCTAGTATCTGGTCTAGATGTTGTCTGTGGGTATGGAATCTGTCTATCCGCGTGTACGTTTTGTGCGGTGCAGAGTAGTACGTGTAGTCTTTTAACTGTGGATGAAGTACTCTCCACGAATCGTATAGTTGATGGTCCTCTAATAGTTTCTGATATTTTGTGCACGCTTGAGTCTGTTTTGATCTGGGTTTGGAGCTAAGTTGCGCTGTGGAATCTAGCTTTGGGTCTGTAATGTGATTGAAATCACCACATAAGATCAACATGCCTTTCTGTAGTTGTGTTATTTTAGTTAACAACTTGTGAAGGAAATTTCTTTGGTCTGTATTTGGTGCGTAGATGGAGACTATGGTGTATAGGGTGTTATTTATGGTGCATACTAATATTATGTGTCTGCCCAAAGGGTCGATATAGGAGTCGTGGTGTGTGAATGCGACTTTGTTGCTAATGAGTATTGACACTCCTTTGGATTTGTGTCCTGTTGTGGCGTGGAATTGGTGAGGGAATAAGTCTAGTCTTAAGGTTGGGTTTGTTTTAAAATGTGTTTCCTGGAGGCATATTATCTCTGCTTGTTCTTGTTTCAAGTCCCTAAAGAGGCAGTGGCGCTTGTACGGGGTGTTTAGACCTTTTACGTTATGTGAGTATATTTTCATGTTGTGGTTTCAGTGGGTAATAGCTGTCTGTCACTGGAGTTATATTTGTGTTGCGCTTCAGTGTAGCATTCACCGGGAGACTAAACTTTATATTTGGCTTCCCCTTGGGCTCGGGATTTCCTCGTTCAGGGTATGGTTGTTCGTGGTCGTGGTTATGGGCTGTCTTGAGTCGTTTGACTTTGGTGGCTAGGATAGTGAATAGCGGGTTAAGGGGTAAGGGGGAGTAACTGGGAGAGAGCATATTGGTAGTCGTCACTACTAATACCCAAATTCGGGTGTGGCTACTATTCCGCGTAGCCTCTAGGGGTCGTGGAGTGGGTTTGAACTTTGTACTACAACTGTTGGCTAGCCCTTCCGTGTCTGGAGACAAGAGGTGTGGTACCTATAAAGTCCTATATGGTTCGGAGCCAAGAGCTCGACCAATTCTTTATACCCTAACCGTGTCCCGTCCTTGCCATGCGTGCTTGAGGTTTCGTGTCTCAGTGTGTGTTATCTCTGTACCTCAGGTTTGGTGGCATCTCGAGTGTGGGACTAGTCTACACTCCCAATTCCCGATCTGCTTCTCCCATCGTAGTTGTATAGTGAGATTGGCATTGGTAGTCACAAGACCAAGTTTCAACAGTCAAACATATAACCAGTAACATATAACCTTCCTGCAACCGCACTTTGAAGGTTCGCTGACGTGGTTTGCTTTTCTACATTTATATTCTGTATCTTAACGTCGTAGCTTTCTATAGCTTCAGCCTATATCTTCCCTTGCCCGACTAGTGGTGCTGCCTTATGGGGTTAGACGTTGTCACCCTTGTTATCTCATTGCTAGGGTTGGACTCTGTGGCCCTCGTTTAGCCTATAGCCTGTGAAGCTGCCTCCCAGACCTCTGGGGTGTTCTTGTGCAGCCAGATCTTCCCAGAAGGTAATCTCCAGGCACTGTAGCAGTTAGCAGACTGCTTCGCCAATCTCCTTCCATCTAGCAGTAATACTACTCTTACTGATGTAACTAGCAGTCCTTTTTTTTTTTTTTTTTGGTGACTTTCAACTACCATTTCCTGATCTGTGACTTATACTGCTTCTGGGTGATTTTAGGACCTGCCCTGGGAGGTGAACAATGCAGTCAGCATTTACATATTTTTGCTCGTTAAACTGAGACATTTACACAACTCTAGCAAGGCAGAGGCTCGCATTAACAATAAACTCTGTGCAACTATTTACAATTAAGTATGTTTCTTGGTCATATAAGTGCTCCCTTAGCTATGGCATTCAAAGTCTATGATACATAAGCATATAAATTGAAAATCAGACCCCTCGTAGCATCGTCTTCAGCGGGCGTGCAGGGTTCTGGTTCACTTGCGTTGCTTCTTCCATTCTGGTGTCAGCCGCTGTGTAGCTTGCGTTTTCTCCGGCTGTTGCTGCAGTGCTATCCCCCAGGTCCGGAGGGTTTTTCTCCCTTCTTCTGGGGACAGGATAGTTGTTACCGTCCCGTTTCTCTGGATCAGGAGGCGGACCGGGTGGCCCCATCGGTATGGCACCTGTCTTGCTCTGAGTGTCTCTGTGATGTCTTTATATTCCCTGCGCTTTTGCAGAGTCAGGGCAGAGAGGTCTGAGTAGAGTTGAATGAACTTGTACTTGTCGGGCATATCTCTTCGTTTCCTGGAAGCTTGCATAATTGCTTCTTTAATATGGTAGTAATGCAATTTTGCCAGGACATCCCTTGGTGCTTCGGCAGGTAGGAATTTCGGTTTTGCCACTCTGTGAGCCCTATCGATCAGCAACATATCTACCGGTAAGTCCGGTGACAGGGCTTGGAAGAGGCTTGTTAAGTATTCCACCAGGTCTGGGTGTTTTACTTCTTCAGGGATCCCCCTTAGTCGTATGTTTTGCCTCCTCGAGCGGTCTTCCAGGTCCATTATCTTTATTTGGAGTTGGTGTTGTTGGTGTTCCAACCTTTGGACATGGTCTGCCATATCATTGTGGGCCTCTGCAAATTCGTCCATTTTGTTTTCCGCCCTGGCCGTGCGCTCCCCTAAATCGTGCATGTCTTTCTTCATCTCTGCTATCGATTTGTTCAGGTTATCGAGGAGTTTGTTGGACATCGCGTCCAGACACTTCTGCAGTATCTCTTGTGTAACTGGTAAGCTCCCTGTCGGGTCGGCGTGGAGAGGGATCGTGTCATCCCCGTCGCCATCTTGGTCACTCTCGTGCGAGGCGGCTTGTTTAGGCTGTTGCGGCCTGGCTCCAAAGAACATGTTCTTTTCTCCCTTGTCCGGGATTTTTTGCTTGGACCTTGCTTGGGACATCTTCCCTGAGTTTGCGGTCCGGGTTTCCGTTGTTTACTGCTGGTGAAAAACGCTTTCTGGGCTGTGAGGATCGGAGCACTATTTACATGCGACCGTCCATGCCGTGAGCTAGGCCACGCCCCCTCCCAAACATTTTTTAAATCACAACAAAGATCCTAAAATGTTAACCCCTTAAGGACGGAGCCAAATGTACACGTTGTGAACAAAACAAAATGTAAACAAAACCTGGCATTTGCGCTACATAGAAACATAGAAACATAGAATGTGACGACGAATAAGAACCATTCGGCCCATCTAGTCTGCCCAATTTTCTAAATACTTTCATTAGTCCCTAGTCTTATCTTATAGTTAGGATAGCCTTATGCCTATCCACGCATGCTTAAACTCCTTTACTGTGTTAACCTCTACCACTTCAGCTGGAAGACTATTCCATGCATCCACTACCCTCTCCAGTAAAGTAATACTTCCTGATATTATTTTTAAACCTTTGTCCCTCTAATTTAAGACTATGTCCTCTTGTTGTGGTAGTTTTTCTTCTTCTACATGTCTGTCCAACCGTAAGTCACCTCTTTCATATAAATGCACCCACCCTTATTATATATCATTTTATTCAGGGGAAACAGGGCTTTCATTTAATATCAAATATTTAGCTATGAAACATAATTTAATATGAAAACAATGGGAGAAAATAAGATTTTTTAAATTTTTTTAGTTCTACATGACATTTTAACTGTCAATGTCATAATACTGTTTGCTTTTACTGCAATAAAATACACATATTTGTATTCAGCAAAGTCTCACGTGTAAAACAGTACCCCCTATGTACAGGTTTTATGGCATTTTGGAAAGTTACAGGGTCAAATATAGCACGTTACATTTGAAATTGAAATTCGCCAGATTGGTTACGTTGCCTTTGGCACTTTATAGTAGCCCAGGAATGAAATTTTGGCCAGTGTTTGTGACTAAGTGGCTACTAAAAAAGACTGGACATACCCCGTTTGCAATACCTTGGGTTGTCTTCTTTTGCAAATGGTATGCCATCATAGGGGTAATTTTCATTCTTGGGCAACCATAGGGTCTCAAAGGCAACGTAACCAATCTGGCGAATTTTAATGTGAAAAAAATGAAACACAAGCCTTATATTTGACGCTGTAACTTTTCAAAACACCATAAAAAAAATTCAAAAAACGTCACTTTTACTGGCGATATCATCGTTGTAATACATTTTACTGTTTTGAAACACTAATATTTGTGTTCAGCGAAGTCTCCCGAGTAGAACAGTAACCCCAATGTACAGGTTTTATGGTGTCTTGGAAAGTTATAGGGTTAAATATAGTGCTAGCAAATTAAATTCCCTTTACTTTCGGCATGGGTTGTCAGGCAGGTCCCGCTAATTGTAATTAATTAAGATACCTAATACCTAAAAATATTACATAAATATATATGTAGAATTAGTATATGTATATATATATATATATATATATATATATATATATGTGAATATATATGTATATATATATATATATAATTTTTACAAATATTTTTATTTATATATAGGTATATATATAGTGATATATACATATATCTTTATGTATATAGATATATATATTATTTCGTTCTATGTGTATTTTGATATAAATATATATATATATATATTAATATCACAATACAGTTATAACGAAATAACACACATCTATATATTTTTTAATTATTTATTTTTAATTATTTTTTTAATTTTATTTTTTAACGTATTTACATATTTTTTTCTATTATATATAAATATATATATATAACAATAATTAGATATATATTTAATCAGTATCAGTCTACGTGTAATTTGATATTAATATATATATAATTATATATATATTAATAGTAAAATACACCTAGACAGTATATGTGTGTGTGTATGTATATGTGTATATATATACTTAGATCATATATATATATATATATATATATATATATATATATGATCTAAGTATATAATTTTTTTTTTTTTACACTTTTAAACTTTAATTAATTTTATTTAACTTTATTACCAGCCAGCAGGGGGACCACCTGTCATTACAGGCAGTCCCCCTGCTGGCAATGCTGCAGCCAGCTATCCCGGCCATGTGATTGTGAGGAGTGAAGATGTGCCGCGGGGACTGCCTGTAATGACAGGTGGAGGGCGTAATATTACGCCCGGCGGCGTTTAGAGCCGCCTAAAATAGGGCGTAATAGTACACCCTCCGGTCTTAAGGGGTTAAAATGTATGGGGATAAAAAAATGCACCTTACCCAGAGGGGAGGTGATATAAAAAATATCCTAGGAAAAACAGAAATGGAATAGGTCTATAGGTTACAGACCCTTGCACCTCAAGGTCTAAATGCAGACTTTGATCTGTATAATTTTCTATGAATACGTACATTATTTGTTACAATTCTGTTAAGGTACTCTTTATTTTTCCTTCTTTCTTAAATATATGTTATATATTTTAATCTTTTAAGTGACACACCATATGTTCTTAAGATATATATTTTATTTTCATCCCTTTCTCAGTTGCATTTTCATTCTATTGCATAATGTTTTTTATTCATATATACTAATATTGGGGCACAATTTAGATCATTTACTTCTATTTTTCATCTCCTTTTATCTATTTTTAATTTATTTAACCGGCATGTATTTAGTTACTGCCGTTTGATATATATCTTTTGGTCCCCTCTACTAACTGTATTTGAGCCTCCAAGGACTGAGAGCGACTGACTATTGTCAGTTTTTAGCCAGCTGCTCGCCGCTCCTCCCACATGCACGGTAACCGGCATGACTACATTTCCCAAGAAGTTTAGCTCCAACATGCCGGTCACGTGTTGCTGGGAGTGGTCTACTACCCTTACGAGCGAGCCATCCGCCGCTTGCCGTTAAGTGCCCCGTACTACATTTCCCATGTAGCTTTGCCCTAACTATCCCCAATCACGTGATATTTAAATTTTATAAATTTTACAATATTCAAGCCCTGTTTTTTATATATAAATATATTATATGGTATACAACAGTCTTGCCTATATAACTGCAAAGATTCAACTTGTTTTAATTATGTTTTAATACTTGTCTGTAATTGGTGGAACCGCTTTTTGGCTCCACTTTTAACCACTGTGTATTCTTATAAATACTGTTTCATGCCAGGTATATTGTTCTATTACCATTTTGATAAAGCCTTAAAGGTGAAACACGTTAATGGTTTTAAATTGTGTATTTTAAAACAATAAAAGTTATTTTTAGTTACCTTTTTATAGGACCAATCTTCTACTTATTTTATTGTATTTTATATACACTTTTATTAACATTTTTCCTGGCATTTTAATTGTATCCTGATTTACGAAATCCATAGGTGGCGATAATTCCACCAGAGCTGTGTCAATAGAGCAGTATTTCCTGCTCTACACTTGTGAGTATATTTTATTTTATTTTATCTATTTTATTTATTTTCCAACTGAGAGCACTATTGCTGTTTTTCATACGTATATTGTGGAGTACGACGGAACCAAAGCTGGACGGACGGACTCACTTCTCTAGTCAATCCTTTAGCGGGGATCATACCGCTAAGCGCCCTCCATCCTAGAGCTGGCCTAAGCTCCGCCAAATGTGAGTGTACTATCCTCCTTTTTATCTATTTTACCTTTGGATC